GAGCTACACTGGCCCCTCACAAGACGGAGCATGGAGCGGCCAAAAGCGACAGAAAGTTGAACACAGCCACAATGGCACCAACAACCAACCGTCCTCCCAAGGCCAAGGGTCGGAACTCTAGAGGAGGGAACATGCAGAAACGATTGTGGTTGCTGAGTTTGAATTCCCCCAGGTCTATGGGCCATTTTTGATAACAAAGATCTAATAACTGGCGGTTTCTTTCGGTCCCAACAGCAAGGCTAAACTACTAAACGCTAATCAACATCTAAACCATACATCCCGCTAGACCAAATGCACTCTTTTTAGATCCTACAAGGAGTGCATACAGTAGTCGATTTGCGGGGGACGTGCAGACCCACACTTGTGGCTCCCATAGCTCGGGTGAATCCGTCCACGCCCACCACCCAACGGTCCATAGCCTTGCCGATCAGGACCACCAGAGGACCGCCCGCGACCATCACTGGTCCATCGTCCATTCTGATTATGGGGTTGGCTGTGATTCCCGCGGGTGGGGGGTCCTCTTCCACCACTTCGGCTTTGTTCCCAACCCCGAACACCACGCCCACCGTTTTGTTGCTGGAAACGGGAGCCGTGGGTGTAAGGTTGGGTCCGGTTATTGCTACGATTGTTTTGATACCGTCCTCGCTGCTGCTGCCATCGACCCCGTCCGCCAAACTCTCGCTTTGGTTGCTCGCGTTTCGTCACGGTGCGATTCTCTTGCAGATCAAAGAGGGCTAGCCGAGCCAACTGGCGGTGAAAATCAAACTTGGTGGGCTCGTTCTCGAGACTGTGCTCTGACAATTGCCGGAGAGCACCGTCGAGGAACTCTGTGACGCGACCACACATGTCCCAAATCACTTGGGATGGCACGTATCGACCAGTTTCCACCAGACGACGGATGTTCCGATCCATCAGTTCCTGAAACTCCAGACTGGGTAGGTCAAACAAAGACTCGGTCGCTGCTGCTGATGGCGTGACACTGCTGAGGTTGTTGGCAGTCTCAAAGACACAAAAGTTGACTGGTCGGCCTTGCTGTTGTGCAATTTCCAAAGCCGTCGAGTAGTCACGAGGCTTGGTATTTGTGTTTCCCCATGCAACGGGAACATCCTTGGGCGTTTGTCGGAGTAGATTGGTGGCGCGTTCGATGCCGGTTTGAGCGATGTTTCGGCTCGGGTCTTTCTGAAACAGCGCCTCCACCATGAAGAGATCCACCAATATGGGGACCTTGGAAATTGCAGTATCGTCCCGCAACAGGTTTTCGGTGCTCTGCAACAGTGATTGGAGGACTTTTTCCGAGGCATTGTCATCGGTATTGGACATGTTTCTACCGGCGCTGGTTTCATTCTCCTCTTTGCTGATCAAAATTGAGCGTATCGACTCTTCCAATTCCGCGGCTGTAATCTTTCCCGAAAGCCGTTGCAAGACCCATCGGAGCTCTTGCTGTTCCGGAGCCAAGAGACGTTCTTGTACTGTCTTCTGGAAGAACGATTGCTGCAAAAGCTGTTGATGTTCCGGTGTCAAGTCCGTCCCATTCTGCAATGATGATTGGGAAGCGACAAAGAGCTCCAAGGGAATTGCCATGTACACATTCGGTTGATCGTCCAATGCCACATCCACCAAGTCCGAACCAGACCGTTGCCGTCGCAGCCAAGTGGTTTTACCACTGTTGGGAGGGCCAATGGTGATGTAAAGTGGAGCCGAGAGATTGCTGCTGGAATCTCCTTGAGCCAAAGTTTCAAGGGCGGTTGTTGTTGTCATTTTTCTTTGTGAGATGTTGTCTCTTGTTGACAACAGCTTGTGCTTGGTAGAGGTGGTGAAACCAAAAGACGAAGAAAAAGGGAGGTTGCAAACTGAGAGCGAGCAGAGGGGAACAACGGCCAGTCCAGACACACTGTTTGCTTGACAGAATGAAGAAGGAAAGTTGTGATAGAAGCACAATAGAAGGAAGCGGAGGACGTTTTTGTTCATGCTCCAAGACCCAGTCGGTTGGCGTTTGAATTTAGAAGACACGTCTCAATGATGAGGGTGGTTTCAAAGCTCCACCAGATCGAACTCTTCCAGTCTTGCCTTCTCTTATCTAAGGCATTTCACAGCTCTCACCACGGATTGCAAACGTCCCGTGGCGCAAATGGCTGATAGCAGAAGCTATATAGCTACGACTGTATCAATAGGAGGTGGAGCTTGTGCAGCTGATTATTCTCTGGTGATGAAAGTGACAGCGAAAAGTGATGGGTGGTGCCGACCAAACGCATGACTGAATGTCTTAAAGACACTTAAACCGCTTAGCTGCTTTGTATGCTATCTTGACATCTTGACGTCTTGTGTGAGGGGGTTGTAGTACACAGGGAAGTCAGCCACAGAAGCCGGGAGGGGCCAGGCATAGCCAACGAAGAGGTGGAAGTGGGGACTAGGTTCTGTGGGATTAGGGGGGACAAATTGAGGACCAAATCAAGGGCTCACTCATCACTCTGCAAGCTTGCCACCTTTGAGAATGATAATGGCTTGCTTGTTGGCCAAACTAATTTGTGGGTATCGTACACTGGACAACTCTTTCCACTCCTGGTATTTCAGGTTGTATGTTTTGAAGCTTTTCATGAAACTTTTTGAGCCGCAGAGCAGAGCCTGCAACATGACAGGCTAAGAAGGCAGCACCCTAGAAAGCTAAGATAATCTTTCCAAACGGGAATAGATTGCTAGGATATTTATTCTTCTTCCTCCTTCAGTTCTTCAATAAATGGTAGCTTTTTTTCTTCCTCGTTCTGCTGTTGTTCTTGCTGCTCTGCTGTGGCTGCACGTTGTTGGCGTCGCTCCCGTCGCTTTTCCAGTTCCTTTTTTCCACCATCCACGTCCCATATCAGCGCAGAATCATCATCATCATCACCTTTGTTGTCCAAGAACAAGAGATGTCCAAATTCTTCGACAAAGCGCAGGAGCTTCTCATCGTCATTGGTAGTGGCCACGGCGGGTTGGATATCCGCCCAAGCATGACGCAAAGCACGACGACCCAAAAATCGAGCTGGTTTCTGTTCCGAGGCAGTCAGTCCATTCCAGAGTTGTGCCACCAATTGATATTCTTCTTCATTATTTGTCGTGGTGGTTGATTTCGACTTGGTTGGTGTCGCACAGAGTGTGGTGGAATTGATAGCCTTTAACAGGATCCGGCTGCATTGCAGGGCTTGTGCGTTGGTCAGAACCAAAGGAACCTCTTCCGACTGTTGTTGCTGCTGCTGCTGCTGTTGTACATCAGGAGTCACGAGGGATCGTGCCGCCACCAACGACAAGAAGGATGTGACAGCAGCGTGAATGGTTGGTCGATCTTGCGCCAGTTCCTCCACGATCTTTGCCTGTTCGGGTGTTGCATTTTGTTGGACTGCCGCCGACGCTGCGACACGTTGTGTGGCTGCCTGAGCCTTGGCCAAAAAGTCGTTGCTGGGAGAGGAAGACATGGTGAGGTTCGTTTTGGTTCTTTTCGGCTGGGATTATGGATGTGTTGTGGTACGGTAGGTCTTGTGGAAAGGTTGAGACTTTTAAATTGGGATGTTGCGGCGACAGGTGCTGCATGGGAGGAAGCAAGTGGAAAGTTCGTTACTGTACGGTTCGAACAAGCTCTTACTACATACATGTAATAGTTGGTACCTGGTACTTGGGGCAAACATTACCTCTTCTCCCTGACAGTACAGTATCGTCGAATGGATCGCAGATGTTGAGTCGAGTCGAGTCGAGTCGAGTCGAGTCAAGCGAGCGACTCATACTAGTACATGTAGATCAATCCAATGCCGCGAACAGATCCCCGCATCCCCGCAAGCCATCCAAAATTTGAAGCAAGAGCTTGGGACGACTTGGATGAGGGCGGGAGCTTCTTGCCAAGAGGTGGAGCTGTCCTGGTTGTGTGCTTGATACGCAGTAGGACATAAAACACAATATATTCGAACGACAGAAACAAGCAAGCAAAAAAGCAAATGAACTTCAGCAGAAACTCCAACCAGCAACCTTCTGCCCAGAACAACGAGCCTGAAATGGCAGTTGCCCCAGCTATGTTGGCCTGTGAGAGCTTTGGTTCTACCACCGTGGAGGCAGAAGCTTGTCAAATCCCAGCAGCTGTTGCATCCGATCCCTCCAGAGAGACAACAGCTGAAATCCCACCCGTCCAAGATGCACTCGACGTGGACTTGCCTGCTGCCCTGGGCAGGCCTGTTGCACTTCAGACCGGAGAAGAGCTCTTGGGACGGATGAAGACACGGCGTAAGAAAGAAACAGTCAACAGTGGGCTCTGGGGAGGTCTGTTGGGCTTTGCTTTGCTTGGGGGACCAATTGGTGCTGTTGGAGTTGGTGCGGGCTCGGCCATTCTGACAAAGCACTCTATGAAACGCCGGGAAAAGGTTTTGCGCAAGCGTTTGGAAGGTAGACTTCATGAACCCATGTTCTTGATTTCGGAGACGTCGACTAGTAGCTAAATAGATAAAGAAGAAGAACACAAGCATTGACCAACCCAAAACCTAGAAGTGATTTGTTTGACCGTGCATCCAGTAGCAGCATGCGGCAAGAGCTAGCAACAGTACCGCAGGTGGTCGGGTGTCACGAAAAGTGCAAAGAATGGGCGAAGAGCCTATTGGCTTGTGCAGATCAAGATTGTGGCCGTAGGGCCCATTGCCAGGGGATCGGGGATCTTGAGGCAGGTTAGTGGGACAGCTTGGCATGGAACTATAGCTAGCTTTTGATAGAAGCGTGGTGGCGAAGGAATTTCAATACAAAAACGGTGTTTGCCGTCGACCTTTGAAACTAGACCATGCACAACCCTCCGTTTTAATTAAACAAGCATTTTTCGATGGCACCAACTACACAATTGCCCTCAACGGACTGAGGGTCTCGAAAATGACCTGTGGTAGCGATTTATGACTATCCAGTTACCAGATTACTAAAATCAACCACACAACAACTACCAAGTAGTAACACAACACTATAGCAACCTCTTTATCAACACCACCATCAGCCTTTTTCGGCTTATCAGGCGTGGAAGCTACTACCAAGAACAAGCGTTCGGTCGATAGAAGAACAAGAGGAAGAGCAGCGCCGTTCGTTCGAGCGCCATTGTCGAAGTTACCGTTCGACGCGACGCTATCGCTCGAAGCTATCGTTCGAGCGCCGATCAAGAAGAAGAACTACAAGCAAGACGACGTTCGAAGCTACTGTTCGTTCGTTCGTCCGAAGCAACGAAGCGGTCGTACCTCATTGTCGGCCGTTCGAATAGCCACCGAAGCTAACGTTCGAACGCCATTGTCGAAGAAGATACGACGAGAAGAAGACGACGCGACGCTACTGTCGTTCGCTTGTCGAGAAGAAGAAGAAGGAGCCTGTTAACCAAACGGCGGTTCATTCGTTCGCCGTTCATTCGTTCGTTCATTCGAAGCAGCGCCATTGTCGCCGATTCGAAGCTACCGTTTTCGGAGCTACAGAACGACAAGAAGAGATCCTCATTGCCAGTGTAATCGGCAGAGGAACAAGAGAAGAAGAGAAGACCTCCAAGCGGCATAGCAACAGAAGACCTCTCAAGAAGAAGGGGCACTCTCAAGTGGAGCGAGAGATAAATTCCAAGGTGAAGCAGAGGTTTGGACTTGGAATATTATCCCTCCAGTTCTGGATCAATTCCTGCCTCATGTGTCACCAAAGAAATCGATTGAGCCAAAGGAAGGGGACGCCTGATCCAATGAGTTTTGGCCTAGACTGCTACAGACTGGGTGTGCAGATGCTCATTCCGTGGAATACATGCCTTACTTGTCTGGGTGTTGTACAGTTTGCTGTTGGAATCAGGAGCAAGAAGAAGACCCAACAACTGTTGCTCATCCAAGTAATACCGCAAGAGAAAAAGTATGGATGCGAATATGGCAGGCAATCTGCAGCCATAACAATATCGTACAGAATACCATCGGTATTACCGAACTTAGCCACGAGGACAGCATGAATGATCAAGGTTGGAAGCCTTCGTCTCACTTGATACCTTTACCGATGCCGATATCAAGAGCATCTGCGAGAACTGATGAGGAAACCAGGTGGTACAATTCCGAATCCAGCCATTGCGGCCGCAGCCACTGATGCAGACTGCCGCAGCAGTTCGCCAAGAGAAGGTCCCACGAGGACGACACTGGGTTTGATTTGAGAAGCGACTCTAGACAAACTACGGTTCTAAAGTCACACATGTTATGAATCCAGCGTCAAATCATTCCCAACCAAGCCAACTTTGGCTAGACTGAACAATATTGGGCGCATGTACGAGTCACGAAAGAGAAGAGGATCGATTGCGGACCCTCTCCCAATTGTTGAGTGGAAGGCCTGGACGTGGTGGCAGGTCCAAGGCCGAGCATTTGGGAAGAGTCGAGGCAGGGGGCGAGGACGTGTGGTACCGTGAAGGCAGAGGTTTTGACCCCGATACTCAAAACAGATACTCATCCCTGTGAGGCCAGCTGATAACTATCATCCCAGAGTGGGCTCCAGCTCACATCGGCGCAGCAGCACAGGCTAGGGACGCCCGGGATGGTGAAAGCGGAAGATTGCCGAGTGCAGACACGTTGTCAGTTACCCAGTCTCAAGTCTCTGAATTGCAAGCCGAGAAGGCGATCCCGGACTGATGTTCTTGGTGGATCTAGCGTGGGACAACCAGATGAACCGCGATGAGTTTCTGGTGTTCGCACTCTGAGATCAGTTGTACCCTTGCCAGAGTTGGCGGAGGCAGATGAGATCAACACGAGGCTTTCGATAAGTACATTTCGACCCGTGTTTGTGTCGCAGCAGGGTGACAAAATGTCTTACGGCACCAATCACAAAGTGCAAAGAGGAATTCAGATGGGAAATTGATTGGTCCTTTCGAATACTAACCCATTGCTTGATACTTCCTTTATGAGGTGGAGTTTGACAGTGGCGAGACCGAGGCCTACTCGGCCAAACGTGCCACACTGCGTGAAATATTGAGACATTCTGATATACTGAGAATTGATTGAGATTGTGCACTTGTGTTGAATACTTGTTTGCTGCTGAATGAATTGATTTGATTTACTGACTATGTGTCTTGATCGCCCCTTCCGCATCACGCTAAGGGGACGGATTTCAAGTTGAGACAGATTTGACATTATGTCGATATGAACAAGCTGTCCTTGTATGTAGCGTGACGCAAAGCTGCGATGAAGCAAATGTTGCGATGGAAATTGATGCCCAGACACACGTGTGTTGGAGTCGAGCACTGATACCGTGACGCACCGATATCACCTGAAATGGCTAGATTTGATATGCCAAAACGAGAATTTGAGGTGACGCAAATTGTGCAACCCTATGTTAGAACCGAACTTCTCAATTTTTGTGCTTCGGATTTCCATGAAAAGCAGGTCGAAATGACAACATTGCCTTACTGGAGCACGGATTTGACAATTTAGACATGCGAGTTTAAGAAACTGGACGACTTTTCCAGCACCCCTGTTTCTGCTGAACGACGAGTATTGCCGAATCAGAACAGGCTGGAGATGCAATTTGATGAATCTAGAGAAGATCTAAAGCAACCAGATGCTGTTTGAGACCAGATGATGACGATAGTCCAGATTTGAGGGGACTTTGTGTCAGAGATTGAACATCAAGAAGAGAGAATAGAACGACCCTGGCAACAGGACCCTGAAGTTCAGAGACAAAAGTCAATGTCCTGAATGGGCTGAGCCATTTTTTACCTGTGTGGCCCATGAGAGTCCTGGCAGTCTGGCCCAGGATTTAGGTTTTCCCACAAGATTCCATAGAGACAGAAGCTGTTGCCCGAATGCAACTGAAGCTGTGATTGAAGAATGACTGGCTAGAAGCAGGAGAGCAGCACATTTGAACAATGAACGAAATGAAATATGTTGAGTTGAATGACGAATTGAAAACGGAATGACATGCAGAGCGATGTAGCCATGATATGATGCATACCTCATTCAAAGGGTAAATCCTGTTTCAGACTTCCTAAGTCTGTTTTCCCATTCCAAGTGCAATTAGCGTGAGATAAGATCCCCCTCTAGACTTGAGAGGACCGAAAATGACCTGTGGTAACGATTTATGACTATCCAGTTACCAGATTACTAAAATCAACCACACAACAACTACCAAGTAGTAACAACAACACTAAGCAACCTCTTTATCAACACCACATCAGCCTTTTTCGTCTTCACACTTTTATCGCTGTATGTGTGTGTGTGTGTGTGTTGTGTGTAGTGTGTGTGTGTTTGTTGGCTGTTTTGTTTCAATGTTTTTGCTGCTCGTTAAGAATAGGGATTAATATTGTGTGTTCTGTGGACACAGTAGTTTAAACATACCATGGGTACCAGTACTGGCTGGCTATGCAGACTCGCTAGTGTGTCCAGATAAACACGGTGGAGGTTTTGCCAAAGACATAAGGAACATTTTCCTTGTTAAGGATAGGGATTTATATTGTGTGTTCTGTTGGACACAGTACTCTGGACCCATGGGTACCGATACCACTGTGCCCATACTGGCTGGCTATGGAGACTTGCTATCAATAGTGTGTCCAGTTGAACACGGTAAATGATTTGACCAATCAAATCTCTTTTTGACAGTTGAGGGCATCAGCCTCCGGCTGCTTGTTCTCATCAGCACAGGATATGACTAGACTACGGCGCAAAAGTTTGACGTTGGTTTGTCTGTGTGGGAAGCAAGTCGAAAGTTCGCTGTGATTCCGAATGCTCTGTGGTTGGGGTCAAATATTACCTCTTCTCCCTATGTACATCAGTTTTCGGGCCCCGTCTTTCTAGAAAGTTGGACGCAGTGCGAAGTGACGACGAGGACTCTCGTCTCAGAGTCTCAACTCTGACAGTAGAAGATGTTTCGTTCCATATCCAAGGGAGGCGTCCAGGAGGGGGGTTGGGGATGAAACGATGCGCCTGGAAAAAATCTCCATTCCCCAGCAGATTGCATGGACGGGGATCCCCCAGGACAACAGTGCCAGAAAAGCTCGAACGGGGACCGCGTTAGCCATGGAGGGATTGAAATATTCTTGGTTTTGCCTTGGGAAATACAATGGACTATGGATGCATTTCAGCAGTCAACAAAGAATGGAACCAGATAGTCAAGACAATGGAGCCCCCAGTCATGTTTCAGATGAAGGCAGTGTTGGAACGAGATGTCCGTTGTGCTGTGAAGACGGAGGATTTGGATCTGTTGAAATCTGGGCTTCAAATGTTGGAAAACAAAGAATCACCTCTATACCTCAAGGAAAGAGGAAACCAGAGATGGCCCCATTTGCAGCATGATTTTGATGCGACTAGTCTACCAGGCAATGAACCAGCGCAGTCCATGGAACCAATCATTCAACGTTTATGAGCTGGTTTGCAATTATCTGAATGATATATCTACAAAGACAGGGGAAAAGATGTTGCAGACACTTGCCAAGACGGGGGTTACTCCTACCGAGAAATTGCAAAAAATTGTTGCTGATTGGTCTGCTTGGGATGGAATCGTCTGCGCTGTGGTTGGAATTGCAGGTTGTCTGGATCGCCACCTTATAAGACGCATGCTAAAACCCTTGGCAGAACATGGTCAGACCTGCTTGGTGTCAGGGCTCTTGTCAAGCCACGATTTTCCATGTTTGCTGGGACAGTTCCTGGATGACGTGAACAGCAACATCACTTCCATGCCAAGGGCTCTCTTGATGCACACCTATAAAACCTGCAAAGCATTAGTCAGCAGTGGAATGGGAATGCAGGCATTTCAGAAATCCAAGCAACTTTCAGCCAAACAAAATCCAAAGTGGAAGAAATCATATTACCAGAAGAGCAAGAGCATGGTGGGAATCCAGACCATGATAAAGAGAATATCAGGCTCGGACTTACAATCGTGTTCCCCAACGGGACCAAGCTGCATGCCCCACGTCATTTTGTTGATGCTAGTGGGCTCTTGTATCATTTGCACCTATCTGATGGTGAGTGTATGCGATGGCATGACGATCAGGACATTCCTCGTTTTGTCAAAGCATTGGAATTCTATGCGATGGATGCTCAGACTCCCATGCCTCCCATTGAACCCATCTCGGTCTACTCTCCACTTCATTCTACCGACCTTCGAATTATCCTTGGCGAGGAGAATGCACAATTTGCCCAGTTAGTGGATTCCCTCACACAGATGGAGCTTGATGCACTTATTTCTTTTGTCGACTTTTTGAACTTGGAAAAGCTGAGGGACTTGTGTGCAACCGCATTTGCAGCCCAAAATTGGGCACTCTTCCTCACTGCTGTGTGAACCGATACGATGGGGGCACATGCGGCAGCATATCTTGCTCTTTTGGGTTGGGGTGGGTCTCCATTTCCGTAACCTACCGTAGAAGTCATTTGTTTTTAGCATGCATCCATCAGCACGCGTACGAGCTACCGGTACGAGCTAACAACGGTACCGTAGTTGGTCAATTTCGTGTGAGGGAGTCACAAAAAGTGCAAAGGGCAAACAGCCTATCGGCTTGCTGCAGGATCGATTGTGTGGTATGGGGTCCATTGCCAGCCTGGCAAGAGGGGATCGGGGAATAGAATCTTGCGGCAGGCGCATTGTGCAGTTTGACATCGAAGTAGAAACATGCATGGTGACTACAGATAGCTCTACAGATAGATTTTCAAGCCAAATATGGTCCAAAACTTGCCGTTCCACTGGTAAAATCTGGACCATGTCACGACCATCCATTTGAGCCATCTATTTCTATAGCACGAACTACACAATCATCATGATAGCAACAAACGAAACTACTAGTAAGCTTAAGAGGTATCAGTTTAACCGCACGGTAATCTAACTAGCAGATGGTCCCATGTCACGGTAATCTAACTCGTCGTACTGTACCGTATTCATGGTATCGTAGATTGGCATAGTCTGCCACACAAATGCAGCGTAACCAACGATCACGAGAATCTCGCAAGTCTAGGGCAGCAAGCTTTGATGGCCGCCGCAGCCACCCGCTTTGGCATCGGATCGCATGCGTTCCATTCGCGCATCCGTCAGTGAAATAGCACTTGAAATATCGATCCCGTCGCGTCCCTTATTCGGTTTTTCAAAACTCTTTCTGCCCCCTTCTTCCCAATCACTGTCACGGTACGTACTGCCATGCAGCAGCACGACTGTCACTCCTATTCTATTTATCCCTCCAAAAATTCCTGAAATTCGCCTCCAGTGGATTGTTGCTGTTTGTTTTTGTTTCGCCGACTTCTACTTTTCAACTTTGAGGCTTGATTAAAGACCCGATGCGTGTCTTTGTTGCACACCGGACAGGCATCACTCTTGCTCCGTACCCAATCCATGATGCAGGCTTCACAAAAGTAGTGTCCACACGACGTCACCACAGGATTGTTAAATGGTTTTCGGCAAATGTGACAGGCAAAGGGCAATCCATCCTTGTCCGTTTTCTTGTCATCATCTTTGCTAGTTTTGCTGCTAGTACCTCCACCACTAGTATTAGCATCGACAAAACCTTGAATTTCCTTGTCTTGTTGTTCTTTCTTCTTTTTTTGTTCTTCTTCCCATTGTTTTTCCAATTGCCATCCCGACAATGTGTCGCCACGATCGTGTAAATAAATGCAGGTATCTCCAAAGCCACAAAATCCCGTTTCTTTGTAGTCTTTGCAAATATCGGGCTGATAGTCAAATCGACACGTGGTACGAATGTGACCCGTCGCTTTGATGGGACCGGCCAACAAGCGGCTGCGGGTCTTGTCGCGGAAAATGCCATCGTCTCCTCTTGATGCTTCGTTATTTGTTGCCGTTGTTGTAGTACTACCGCCAGCATTATTCCTCATGATTTCTTCCGGATGGAGTTGCACGGTAGATGTCACCAACTCTTCCTTTTTCTGTTGATGGTCCGCTCCGGCAGTTCCATATTGATGCATCACTTTTTGGGTTTCATCCGATTTGGATGATGACGATTTATTGGTACCAGCGCCCACAGTCTTTGTTCGTTTGCGGGCTTCGGACAGCAATGTGGACGTATCTTCTTCTTCGTCATCGTCGGCTTTGCGCTTCTTGTGGCTGTCATCTTCCTCAACGTCGGCTTCTTTGCGACGACGGTTGTTCTTGGCTTTTTTCGGCTTGCGAAACATAATCAACTCTACTATGGAAGGATTGTTGTGTGCTATCTTATCTCCGATGGATACTGTAGTCCTTCGTTTTGCAACTGTGTTGGGAAGAGGTTGTGTTTGGTGGGTGTCTGAAAGCCTGGGAAGCCCTTGCTTGCGTTGCTTGGGGGCGGAGATTCTAGAGCAGGTTTGCGTCCTTCGAGAAGGTTCGATTTTGTTCATCGTGGTTACTCTAACCCTAAAAGTAGAGAACCCGAAATCCAACAATTCAGCTTTTTTTCAGCGTTGGTCTCCTGTTTCCTCAGTTTGCTCGCTACTTGGATCCATATGACGAATAGATGCAATCCAGCCATTGTATAGCCAGCTATGGTACCGTAGACAGAGAGTTACATCGATCCGTGACAGTGGCAACAGTACCGAACACACTCAGGTTCCGCTTTACTGGCTACACTCCGTTACCGGTACCTTGCATTGATTTTTGAGCGAATACATGACCAGACATTGTAATCCAGCCATCGTAGCCAGTTACAGTAGAGTTCATCGATCAGTGACAGTGGCAACAGTACGAACACACTCAGGTCGCTATGTCTCACTCGGTTACCTCGTTTTGGATCCTTAAGAGAAATACATGCACAACCAGAACATTTCAATCCAGCTATGTAGCCGCTACCGTAAAGTTACATCGGCGACAGTGTCAAAAGTCCGAAACACACTCAGGTTCCGTTTTGCAGGCTATACTCGGTTGCCGGTATCTTGATTGATCCTTATGACGATAGACTACATGCACAACGAACATTATGAATCCACCCATTGTGCCGTGCGGTATAGCTACATCGACACAGTGGCAACAGTACGAAGTTCGTCTTTTCTCGCTAGGTTACCGGTTCCCTCGCATTGGATCCTTATGACAAATACATGCACAACAGAATATTGTCAATTCCAGCCATTGTAGCCAGTTTCCATAGAGTTACATCAATGGTGACAGTGGCAAAAGTACAGAACACACTCAGTTCCGTTTACTGGCTACATCCGTTACCGTACCTTGATTGGATCCTTATGACGAATACATACACAACCAACATTGCATCACATCGCTAGCCACTATCGTAGTTCATCGATCGGTGACATGTGGCAACAGTACGAACACACTCAGGTTCGACTTTCTCGCTGCACTCGGTTCCTCGATTGGATCCTTATGACGAATACAGCACACAACGTATTGTCAATCCAGCATTTTAGCCAGCGCATAGCGTTTATAGCTGGGACAGTACTTGATTGCGCATACAGGAAAATGGGTACCGACACGGGATCACCACCAACAGTAGGAAATAACAAGAAGGGATGAATCCGTAGAGGATCTCACTCTCTGTGTGTTGTTGCTCTTCGGTGGCTGTTGCTTTCAATGACTCGACGAATAGGTCCGTTCAGCTTGGTAGGGCTGGAGTTAAAGAGCTCCTTTCCTAGCGGTAGCCTCATCTTCTTTTTGCTAGCGACGATCGATCGATCGTCTCGTCGAATGGACTCCATGCATGGTTAGTTCTCGCCGTCGCAAGTGCAGCAGAGAACAACAAATAGATTGAGTTTTGTTTTCTGTGCTAACTGAAAACAGCGACTTCATTGTTTAATTCACAACTTGCCGTCATGGGCCGAGAAATGATTGCCATCCATGGTCCATAGATTCAATGAGGGATGGCTTTCGTTCTGACCGAGAGACCGGTTGAGTGAGGCTTGGATAACTGAGATAATAGAGATGCGATCGATCGATCGAATACAGCCGGCTTGGCTTGGATAATAGAGGTGCGACCGATCGATTCGATTGAATATAAACACAAATACTGTTGACGGCCGAGCTTGGAATTCTCTCCTGCTTACAATAGATATCAATATGGGAGAGAAGTCAGCGCTGTACTTCAATCTCACTCTTAGATTACACTCTTGTGATCGATTCATCGTCATCGATCACACGAGGAGTACTTTGTCGGCCAAGCTGATTTCTCTCCTGTTACATAGGAATTCAATGAGGGAGAGAAGTCAGTGCTGTACCTTCATATAACACTTTTATTCCACGAATCTCTAAATTTTCGAAGAGAACTTGTTACTTAGATACACATGCCGTTGATTCTGCAAATGAAGTGCCGGTACTCTATTTTACAAGTAAACGCCGAGCAAATCATTCAGAGTGCAACTGAAGGGGAAACAAAGGCGTGGTCTGGGGACCCAAATTTGGCTTTTTTTCAGCGTTCGTCTCCTGTTTCTCGAGTTACATGCCAATCCACATGTAGCGCTTTGGTACTGTACCGTGGCAGAGAGTTACATCATCGTGACAGTGGCAACAGTACCGAACACACTCAGGTTCCTTTACTGGCTACACTCGTTGCCGTATCTTTTTTGGATCCTTATGACGAATACATGACAACCGAACAATTATGAATCAGCATTGTAGTCGGTGCGGTAACTGCTACATCGACGACAGTGGCAACAGTACCGAAGTTTCGGCTTGCTCGCTTGGTTACCGGTTCCTCGCATTGGTCTTATCGACGTACATGCACCGAACACTTGTAAATCCTAGCATGTTAGCTAGTTACCGTAGCAGTACATGATCTCGTGACAGTGGCAACAGTACGAACACACTCAGGTTCCGCTTACTGGCTACACTCCGTTCGGTACCTAGATTGGTCTATGACGAATACATGCACAACCGACATTGTCACAGCCATCGTAGCAGCTATCGGGTTCATCATCGGTGACATGGCACAATACCGAACACCAGTTCGATTTGCTCGCTGACGATCGTATCCTATATATTATGACGATCACACGCACAACGGAATATTGAATCCAGCCATTGTCAGCTGCCGTATAGCTAGTGGCAACAGTAATTGATTTGCGCATACACAGGAAATGGGTACCGACACAGATCACCACCAAAACAGTAAATAACAGAGGATGAATCCGGTAGGAGGATCCACTCTCTTGTGTGTTGTCGAGTTGCTAGCCTCCTCTGTTCCTTTCAATGATGACGACGATCCGTTCAGAATGTTGGTAGGGCTGGAGTTAACGTCTCCTCCGTAGTGGTAGCTCTCCTCTTCTTGTTCTCCGTTCGACGACGACGTCGTTCGTTCGACAATGTGTTCTCGGCCGTCGGCGTCAGCAGAGAAAACAAAAATAGATATGAGTTTTGTTTTCTGTGCTCAACTGCAGACGACCGGAGACTCTACTCTTGTATTTCTCATAATTTGCACAACTTGGCCTTCATGGGCCGAGAACTGACTGCCATCCCATGGTCCATAGGATTCAATGAGGGATGGCTTTCGAATCTACACCGGAGACAGCCGGCTTGAGTGAGGCTTGATAGTAGAGATAATAGAGGTGCGAGCGATCGATTCGAATAATTAAAACAACTCACCTGTTGACGGCCGAGCTTGGAATTCTCTCCTGTTTACCATAGAAATTCAATAAGGGAGAGAAGTCAGCGCTGTACCTTCAACAATGGACTTGGCTGGACCTGCACGACTGTGCCTGTTGTTGGTGCAGAGGTGCGCATGCGATTGAATTACAGTAGTTTATCCTTAACCTTAGTAACTTCAGCAGTTCTTTTATCCACGAATCATCTAAATCTTTCGAAAGGGAACGCGTTACTTAACGATACACATGACCGTTGATTCTGCAACTGAAGTGCGGGTACACTAATTTACACAGTAAACGCGAGCCAATCGATTTCAGAGTGCAACTGAGGGGGTAGATCTAACCTAAAGGAGCATCGTCTCGAGGAGACGTAATTCCTTGACATTGACTTCGTTCTGGCCCCTTTTTTCTTTCGACCATGGCGGTTATATCATCTTTTCGTCCGGCTAGTAGAGCTAGTAGCAAGTAGTTCGCCAACGGTAGTACTGGTACAGCACTGGCAGTGGTGTGATTCTCTGCCGTGGTCGTAGTGACAATTTCCAGAAGATGTTGGCGCATTGGAATCCCAGTGGCATTGCGCTCGTTTCGTTGTGGCTTCTCATCATAACCACAAGTACGGCATTCTCCTCTCTGGACGATGGTCGTCCCGTCGCCATAATCACAGGTGGAACTCGTGGAATTGGATCGGGTATTGCCTCTGCTTTGGCGGATGATGGATTTGACTTGTTGCTCACATACAATAGCAACGTACAAGCTGCGCAAGACTTTGTCAAGACACTGCAAGACAAGCATCCTTCGATTCACTGTGAATTGGTCGGTGGGGATTTGTCCAAAGAGGAAACACGGCATGCCATTTTTGATTGTTTCGATACCAAGTTTGATGGAAACAGTCATCATCTACAAGTTGCAGTCCACAATGCCGGTCAGTATTTGGGTGTGACATCCACCAACGAAGCCGGTCTCGATGCACAATCCACAAGTTTTGGCGACAATTCCATCCTGGATGAGAACGGCATACCCAATCTACAAGCCATGAAATTCTATCAACGGCTCTACGGAGATGCTTGGATTGATCTCTGCGAACGAGGCATTGCGCGCATGAATAGTGCTAATGGAGGCTCTTTGATTGGCATTTCCAGTCCATCCGTCAATTCCATGTACCGACCCGATCCCACATACTCGTTGCCCGGTTCGGGCAAGTGCATCATGGAGTACTCCAATCGAATATTGGCCCTCAAGGGCGCCGCCATGAATATCAATTGCAACGTCATTATACCCGGAGTTACTCTAACGGATTCTTGGAACTATTCTGCCCGCCAATACGGAGCCAAGTCGGCAGAAGAAATCATTGATCGAGCCGTTTCCAGCAGAGTGCCCATGAAACGACCTCTGGATGTACGGGGGATTGGAGACGTCGTCTCCTTTCTGTGCAGTCCGCAGGGCCGTTACATTACGGGAGTGGCACTTCCAGTCGATGGAGGAATGCACCTGCGATAGTATAGTTACATCATTGCTAATAGAACGAAACAACCGCTGTATTGCTACTACCGGTACCGCTACTGATCTTTATGAGCTTCTGTATGTCTGATACAGACTGAGATTCAGCACAGCTACCCCGCCAACCGGTACGGTAGTTGGGGTGAACCTTATGGCTGCCGTACCGGTACCTAGAGGTGTGGTGCAGCACCGAGCCCAGAAGGCAATTGGAGTAAGTACCAGGTAGTAGGTAGCTACGATACCGTACTCAAGTCACTGCCGGTCTGTTGGGCAGAATCATGAAGATGAGTTTTCAGTGGCACAGCTATGCAGCACTATGCAGAGTCCCCACAGACAACAGTGAGAGCACATTCTGCATTGGCTTAGATACCGGTATCACAAGATTTGCGAGCTGATGTTTGGTTACAGAGACCCATAGACAGTCAAAGGAAGCAAATGCAAGCTGAAAAGGACCACTTCCCCTTTGTGTAACCACATAAACACTACTTGCGTCCAAGCGGCATGGTTGCTCACAGCAATGCTTTCACGGTTTTGCGTTCATTGCCACATTCCACAGCGGCGGGCCTTTGCATTCATCGCTTGCAGTCAGCTGTTGAAAGATCATTGGAGGAAAGAGGAGGATTTAACATCGTGCATCGGTGCACTCGCTACCGGTTACCGGTACTCGTCGTCGAGTCGTCGTTCTACCTACCGGGGTACTAGTTAGCTAGGCTAGCCACTAAGTGTCACTTCACCTTCCACCACTCCACAGTCCAGAGACATTGTCCAGGCAAACGGTGAACATGGATGCACATGAAAGGGAGCTTGGTGGCACGGTGGCTGAGCAGCGACGATGAGCAAGAGAGAAGGGATACATGCAGGCCCCTCAGGCAACAAAACCCCACAACAACAGGACCATGCGCCAGGGATTGCTCTCATCAGGATGCTGGGTGATTCTCCTCGTCGCTGCTTCAGGCGAGGAGGCACACGAAATGACAAGCAATAATTCGAGCCTCGCCGAGGATGATTATCATCAAGTAGATGATTATTATGAGGATGATGATTATTATGACCTCGATTTCACACCACGGCAGGCGAATATTATGGCCTATCTACCAAAGCCATTCTCCCTGCTCTCTTTAATGTGCTCTTATGTTATCATTCGAGAGATTTTATGTGAGAAGAAAATCAGAGGAAGAGTGGGTGGTACACCCCTGAATCGAATGCTCATGGCCATGGCCATTGGAGACATTATCTTCAGCTTGGCCTATTTTATTGGGGTTTGGGCTGCACCTCAAGAAGCAGCCTATGGGCTGGAAGGGCAAGGTAGTGTGGGATCTTGTACCTTTCAAGGATTCCTTGTCCAGCTGGGGTTGATGCTATCCGTCCTGTCAAGCACCAGCCTGTCCTTCTTCTATTTACTTTTGGTTGGACGAAATTGGAGGGACAGTGATTTGGAAGCATGGGAGTTTCCTATTCATGGTGTAATATGGCTCATTGCACTTGGTCTAGCAATCTACCCGCTCCCTTTGCAACTATACAACAGCGCTGGTGAAGTCTGTTGGATAGAATCAGTCCCACCAAGTTGCTCCGGTGATGACTGCATGAGAGGCCCAGATCCCTGGTTCCACCAAGTGATCGGCCTGGTATTGCCATTTGTGTGTCTTCTGCTGAGCTTGCTCAACTTGGGGTTTATACTGTGCAAGGTACGCCAGGTAGAAAACACAACCAGACGGTATGCTGGTAGCGTAACGGCTTCCGCCACCTCCGCATCGGCCTCCGATGGCAGAGTATCGGCTGTAAGTGATTCAGCACTCAGGAGCAGCTCTGTAAATCGGAAAAAGTCCAATGCAGGTAAGCTGTTATTTCTCCACCGAAGAGCAGGGGCTTTCAGTGCTGTGCTTGGCTCACTTTTGTTTCCCAAAAGTTGCAAAGCAGGCAGCATTCTACACATTTGCATTTCTTTTGACATACCTCCCTGATCTAATCATTGCAGTGAAGTATAATGTGGGTGGACTAGTCAGGATTGGCGCTGAGTATTTTGCATATTGTGTAGTCTTGCCGTCGGCAGGGACATTCAACTTTCTTGTTTTTTCAAGGATGAGGCGAATGAAAACACCAGAGGGGCGCGTCCTGAGAAGTGCATTTTTTTGCCTGTGCTGTAGGGCCCCCATGGATTCAATGACTTCAGTATTTGGCCGAACACAGGCGACCTGCACGGATGTGCCTGAGGTCTCTACGCTGCAGCGCGAAGACGCCAACAAAACAACCGTCGACCAGGATCACGAAAAAGGCAATCACGTTCGGACAGACATGGAGAATGACGAGAGCAATGATGAGTTTGCCTGTGAGTGAGTCAATGACAAACCAATACACAGCCAAAAGATCGTGACATCGATGGCTCTACTAGGTGCATTGTGTGTCTCAGGTATCGGGACATTCCGGCTGCTACAGGCCATTTCAGGGCTTACGACACAAGAACGCAACAATAAGCCGTTCTTTCAATTCCAATGTGCCACGGAATCAATACACAGGTTGTCTCGATGAACAGTGGATTGCTGGAAACAAGCATACCGGTAGCGGTACGTTTACGGAGGTCAACAAGAGTACAGACCTTTTTATATGGATTGCCCCTGTCGTTCGTGTCGTTGGGGTTTCTACGGACGCGCTGTCGGCAGCTCACTCGAGAGCCAACGGGCAGTTTTGGTGTAAACTAAAGGATGAATGATTTCAGGCTCCCTCATGCTACTAGCTTGACAAGATAAACTGTTGCACCACCGGCGATTGTTACAGAACAGTAGCATATTCAGTACTTACTGCATCAAGGTTATGTACAACCTACCGGTAACTAATCCAGTTGACCTTATATCCTTCTTTGCTGGAGTGCAAGCCAAGCAAAAGCCGTAACGATGAAAGGAAGAGCCTTCGATCTCCGCAGACGGCACATAAACTCCGTCTTGTGCTGATCGATTGTTGTGAAGTACAACCCAGTTCGCAGGTTAATGCCGAGGCAAGCAGATGATTGATTCGGCTGAGTTTCTCAGTCTCGGCTTTCCAGCCCTCACATTGGACTTGCCCAGGCATGTGTGTCCTTTCGTGTGCTGCCCACATCTGCGTTCGTTACGTTGGCTTCATTTTGTCAACTACTGCCTGACGACTCATCACCGAAGGAACCTATACTCATGTCGCTCACTTCAGTTTGATCAACATTCACTGGTGCCGCCTCCTCTGCTGGGAGGTCGGAACCCCTCAAGTGTCGGATTTCGTCCGCCAATTCTCTGTTCTGTTGCTCTAACAAGTGGCATCGTTCCTCGAGTATTGCATACTTCAACTCGTTGAAATTTGCGCTATCCAGGTTCGGTTTTTTGCGGTCTCCGACTGGATGATCAGTAGTGGATTCTGCCGCGGTTGACCCCAGATGCAACGCCTGCTGCTTTCTGGACGAAGCAGCAGAATAGCAAGATCTTGAAGAATGGTGGGAAGAGTTTGAGTCGAGCCCGCTTTGTCGTGACAGCTCGCGCATTTGTACCTTTCGGTTAGTGCTTCTTCGAAGGGATTCACCAATGCCAATTCCTTCTGCAAGACCTTTGGATCGAAAGTGTATTTTCGGTATAAATAGAAATGACAGGATGCCAACGTCGTTAAGAGCGATCACACCTGAAAGGACCAAGAAAATGGCAGCAGTGCTGTCTCCGACCGAGAACAAGACCGGCAAACCTATGACCAGCACCTGAAAGACATACATGGACGCCAGTGCAACATATTTCTGTTCCTGGTAGCGGTCTTCCAAATCCGAAATCTGGTACAAAAGCAAGTTGGTGACAATCATCAGGATGACATGGATCCCAACAATCGGTCCTGCAAAGGCCCAAATACTGGAACCGTCGGCGGGGGCGCACCTCCCGTAGCTGCTAATTGTTACGACGTGGCCCTGTTCTTCGCCAATTGCCACACTCGTGGTTTCCCGTCTATACTCGAGGGGATGTACCAGAGTCCATGTCACCACCACGGCCAGATCCAACGCCAGGATGAGCGCAATGATCCATGCCGATTCCAATGATGTGATGGTCCTTCGCTCGTAGCTGTTTCTCCTCGTAATCTTGTACAGTCGATTCGTTTTGGCCGTCAGAGAGCCATACTGCAATACCCAACCGGTGCAATAGAGAAAGGGTGCCACGCGGCATGCCGTGGTCGCAGCGCTCGTGTCCTCGCCGACCCCGGCTTGCCAACTCAGCGCAATGATCGTCGACGACGAAATGGTAGCTCCCACACAAATCAACGACATGAAGGAGACTTGTGCAATCTGCATCACTGGGTCCTGCCTCCATCGAATCAGCCATGACAAGAAGAATATCGCCAGAGCCCATGTGACGGAAACCATGAAATACCCAAAGATTCGTACCCCATCGGGGATCAAGTGTTCATCTTCATAGTAACATGCGGTCTCTCCACTTCGTCCCTGCGTCGTACTTCCCGTGGGACATGGCAGGCACTTCATGAATTGATTGTATTCGTATGTGACGGTATCCGTTGGGCATTGCGAACATTTTTCGGTGAGCAGACTGGAGCTATTCATGGCCAAGGATTCGTTAAAGAACTGTCCTGGGGGGCAGTCCATGCCGCTGGGCGCGGGAAACTCGATTTCGGCTTGAGCCATAAAATCGGGCGATACCAGATAATTGTTGTAGACCGACACAATGTCTTGCCGTGTCGACTTATTATTGTCGTTTTCATGATTCATGAGAGCAGACCCCTTATTGTGCAGATTAGTGCTATTGGTCAACCATTGTGTTCCCGCGGGTGCTCTTCCAATATTTCGTTGATTGTCATCAAATGAGACGGGTCCAAAGAGTGTTGTGCCATCCAAAATGACCATGCTCCGTCGGAGCATTTCGTAATTGGTTTGAAAGTCGGTTTCCGGATCCGGATGATCCGTCACCCGGTAGGTGTTCTTCAAGTGTTCCACAAACAACATGGGGATGGAATAGCTCACGACAAAATCGTACGTGCCAAAATACCCAAACCGTTGTTCACTTTGAACCAACAAGTCTTGTCCGGACGCATAGTATGCATCACTGTACGTAAAGGCTTCATGCCATTGTCCTCCTCCTTGCATGTAGGGAATCTTATCGGGATTGGCGGTCGCCCACCCCCACGTGGCTGGTGTGAGCCATATGGATGACGGTCGACATCCATTCTGGAGCCATCGCGGTAGTACAATGTCTTGTTCCGATCGGAAACAGGCAAAAATGGCGGGATGTTGCGTATTGTTGGGAGGACACGTCTGATCGGCTAGTGCATGAAGAAACGCGGGATCGAATTGGTTCTGAATCCCATCTCCATTATGATCGTCATCGGGAACGTATTCAACTTGCATGACATTGGTAAATCCCAGTTCTTTCAGTGCATCGATAGCGGAGCGGCAAGTCGAGTAAAAAAATTCGGCGACGGTCCGATAGAGGACTCGTACGGGTTGATCCTTCGAGGCGGCGGAAAATCCCAAGGCTCGTACGGCCGGCAGTGGATAATTGTCGCTGTTGAGATGGAATCCAAAAATGTAGGGATTTCCCGTTTGATAGTAACTGGGTGGTCCCACTTGTGCCAAGAGCATGGTTTGGTGCTGAAGTGCAACTTGTGCTTCGGGCTGGGAAAAGAAGGAACAGGTTCCAATAATGTATTGTGGCCGGAGTGCCGTGATTGCTGTACTCAAGACGTGTGCATGACGGGCAAAGTAGTAGTCGGTGCCATTGTAATCTCCATTGCCGGCAATGACAGAGACCAGTCGAAACTGAATGTAAAAGTTGCGATGGAAGCCAATGGCGACGCCTCGGCCGTCATTCTCGGCATTGAGAAGTTCCACACTCACCAGGGCACCATCGCGCATGCTGTAACAGGAAGATGCGGCTGGAGTGACCTGTACCAGTGTCACCAGAAAGGAGGAATTGGAGTCGGTCCGATTGGGAGGCATGGTATCGTAGAGAATACAGGGTTCGACTACGTCTTGTGGAGTCAGATCTATATAGTCAAACGAGGCGCGAGCACAAGGGCCCCAACTCTCAAAGGTCATGGCATCATCATCGCTTGTCGTTGTAGTGGATGGCACATGATGAGTCACATTATTCCTGTCGCCTTGCACCATCGGAAGATTCAACACGGTCAGATTGCTGGCCTGTCCTTTGGCGCTCTCTATCGAAAACAATACAACCAGCCCCAAAAAGGCGAGTAACCATGATCTCGTGAGACTCATCATCGTCACGCCAATGATGAGTACCTGGTACTGTACGGTACGGCAGACCCACCAACAGCTTTCGAAGATCAACAGGGCTGTCAACAGTCAGGAGTGATCACTCCATGGACTCTCATCATCATCTTTGCATTGATTTCTCGGGATCCTTCGTGTCACGGTTGGAGTTGAGAGCTTCGAATGCGAATGGTTGGAATGTTGGAACGTTGAAACAGCTTTGGAACTTCAAAGAAGCGAGAGGATCAGTTAAGTAAATTGTGAAAGCTGAACGTTTTGAACGTTCTCTTTAGAAATATGAGGGCATAAATTAATTAAAGTTGAGCCTCATCGCTTCATCAGGAGCACTCCATGATACTAGTATTTAAAAATCCAACGCAGACGAACCAATCCACGGAATTTGGTGCTCTCTAGTTAGAGATGGGGGTAAAGCCTGCTGCCAACAGTTACCGATGATCGAGCCGTTGAGTCGAGTCGAGTCTTCTTGACACCCAGTCGGTGTCAACGCAACACCACAACACCCAAGCTAGAGCCGCTGGCCAGAGCTCAAACCACCATGATGATACATGTACATCCAACGAGACTACCCCTACTGCTATCGTGCCTGCTACTACTCCTGTCGTCGTTCCAGACAAGCCTCCTTGTCCATGCGGAAAAGTTGACGAAAAATCAAGAAAAAGTCAATTTGGTATGGAATCAAATGGTATCAGATTTCGATGCCTTCAAGGCGGCTTTTGCGGACGATGCCAAGATCAAAATGTGCCTCCGCGGCATGCCCTTTTGCACGGAAGGAACCTTTAACGAAATGCTCGAAGGATTCCGGGTGGCTTTCTCGTCGTTTCAAGTCAAGCATAAATTCTTGACGGGCAAGTCCCATCCCGACACATTTTTAGTCGAGTGGGTCAACAGTATACAAACCAACGAGGGTTGTCGGGCCATGTGGTGGGGATATGCCACGTACGAATTCAACGATGATGGAAAAATCAAACGTTTCCTGGGAATGTCCGAAGAATCGGAGGATGTCATTCATTGTGTCTCCAAGGTTTCGGGAATCAACGTCGAATTGTGAGAGACAGAAAGCGATAGATTGAAATATTGGGAATGCAGAGAAAAAGACAGTTCATAGGGTGGACAACTTCATGTATATGTATCCATGTTGCAAATTTGGATTTTTACCAGTGAGATTGAAAACAACTGATCTACTGGCCGTACAAGCCCTGCTCAAACCGACAGCACATGGATGATGTGCCCTATTCAACTACTAGTAGTATCCAACAGTCAAGTCCAAACAATCAACAAGAGATCTCTGGTTGCCACAAATGGAATTTACTATTGTGGGTGTGTTTACAACTACCGGTTGGATGTATACTGCAATGATTGGGGTCGATGTACGGTATACTGCTGTGAGTTTTCCACACCCAAAAGTGGGTTCAAGTCAACAATCTCAACACGTGGCTTCGTTGTTTGTTGTTTAGTAAGCTAAGTAAATGTACTGTTTTTGGGAGGCTGCCTTCTAATGTACGGTAGATGCTAGCTAAAGTGAGCGCTAACCTGCAGATGTCAACCACAAAAGCTATTCACAGCATTGGTTTGCGTCCACTCTCATTTAACTATTTGGCTGTGCCAGTGTTGCTGTCACGACGACGATGACACGTAACTTTGAGAATTTCACGAATATTGCCCGCACCACTATCCACCACACTTGCCGTTTCCACCTGCAAGCTATACTCGTCTCCCTGCAACGTCTGTGCGGCTTCCCGTAGTGCATCCGTTCCACCTCCCACGCCAAAGTAATAGCGTTTGGATGCCACCCAGCCAATTCCAGCGTCAATGGTCAAGTGACGGAGCAACAGTTGGGCGGTATCCTTGGCGGCTTGCGGTGTGTAGGTGGTTTCCGCAGCAATGATACAGTCGAACCTTCGACCCTCAAAGTGTGACGACATGTCATGCCAATCCCCCGCACCAACATCGATCCATTGCGCCAATTGTTTTACATTAGGCAGCAAATGGCCCGTATTGAGAATAATATTGGAGAGTGTCACATCTTCAATGACATAATCATTGTAATCCACAAACACGACAGTGGTAGATTGTTCTTGTTCTTGTGATGTCCTACCATGGGTTCGTATAGCTTCTCGTAACAACCAACAACTTGGCAGGGCATGACCACACCCCAATTCCAAGGCACTGGAGCCTTTGGCCAAACCAATTCTTTCCTTTTGAAAGTATCGAATCAAATCCAAACTACATTCCCAAACTTGCAAACCTCCTTCGTAGACTCCCGGTTTGATTTCTTTTTCGTACTGTTCCATGCACACGCGACGGAGTGGATGATCTTCATCACTATTTTTGTCATCATCACTATTTTTGTCATCATCACTATCATCTTCTTGAGATGGAAACAACTCAATGTCTTGGTAGACAATCTCTTGACTGGCTCGTTTTTCCAGAAAGGATTCCAGGTCGGATTCCTTCCAAAGCACAAACGGGTGCGTCACCTCATCATCTTCCACTGCTGGAGTGTTGGCGCCGACCGCTTCCTCCTTGGCAGAAGTCTCTCCTTTTCCTTCTTCTGGTAAGAAATTAAACGTGAACATGGAACCCACCACAAAGTATTCTGGACTGTCAAGAAGAAGATCGACTAGCTAGTAGCTATCTGGCAGAAACAAGCTTTTAAACGGCTGGAGTGTCGCCTTCGTGCTCATGGTCGTTGCGTGGCAATTCCAGCCAATTCGATTGAAGATTCGAATTTTCACTTTTCTTTTCGAATCTATTCGATTTATGCTAACCAGTTTTCGGCCGTTTCGGGTTTGGGCACCCTTCGGCATGACAACGGTCAACACCAAGGACAACCCAAAGATACCGTGACCAGCAACGACCACAATTACTTTTTCTTGTTTACATTGTCGTAAGGAAGCTACGTTTTGCACGATCGATTCTTTATTGATTGCTGTACAGACGTATGGATTGCGCATAATCCATCGGCTACGACAATCCAAAAAGTTTTCTTTTCGGTGAGCTAAGTAGAAAGAGTATCCACCAAGCAAATAAAAAAGTAAGATCCATCACAATGGCCGCTTTTCCCGGTTGGTTGGTATGGGCCGTGGTCGGAGTGGCAAGTTCCACGGCAGCCGTGCATTTCAATCAGGACAGTATCAATATGTTTTTCATGCGCCTGTTCCGTGACATTGGGCGACACAAGGCATACCAACGCCGCTATGGGAGCAATGACTATGCTCTGACAACCTTTTTGTTGCATCAAGACGATCCATTGCTGGGAGTGTTTGACGAAAGGGAAGATGATTTGCCCACATACACGGTGGATGAATTATGGGAAATGGGCAATGTGGAAGATTTTGAAGATGCCGAAGAAGAAGAACCGCGCAAACTGCTACTGAGTGTGTTTGGACGCATCTACGATGTCACCAAGGGAACCAAATTCTACGGACCCGATTCCAGTTACAGCATGTTCTGTGGTCGAGACGTCACATACGCACTGAGTTTGGGGTGTAAAACAGAAAAATGCCTTGCCAGTAAAGTGGAGGAGCTGACGGACAAACAACTCGATGAAGGAAAGCGATGGCTCTCCTTTTTCCAATTGCACGACAAATATCCCTTGGTGGGAAAATTAGACGACAATCCCATGGAAAGCATGATGAATCAATGGATTGACGAGATTGTGGCCAACAAGGATAAAGAAGGAGCAGGAGAAATGCCACCACTCAATTTCTAGCTACCGTAGCCAAAAACAAAACAATAATTTACAAAGGGTTGCCAGTGCCAACAGAAATGGCACTATAGTTGACAATTCCATTTGGCAATTCTCCCATAGAAATCAGACGATGAAAAAGCCTCAAATTGCCTTCGTACCGTACCGTAGTAGTTTCTTGGTCCGACACGAGGCAAAAACATCTCCGAGTCGACGGTAAGCGAGAAATGGCTGATAGAACAACCACAAACTGACAAACTGTCGCGTCGACAATATGCTATTCTAGCTAGCTGGCTACAGTCAAACTAGAAGTAAGTTTGATTTTTCATAATCTATTATAGTCTATCGGTCTATGTTCGCTGTCACCTGCTGCAGTCGCTGTTATCTCAGTTGCTTGTGCTGCCTCGAAGGCGACGTCCTCCAGACCCATCGTTGGCTTCTTGGCACCCTGTGCAATCGGCAGTGCAACCATTGGGAAGGGAAAATGTGCCAGTCAGCCCATTCAAATAAGGACCTCCAATGGTAAAGGTTCCCATGTCAATCTTGCAATCTTTGTTGACGCTGCAGGCTCCTTCTTGGCATTGAATGCTAGTGGGACCCTCAAACGTCTCCCCATTCACAGGACATTCTTCGGTCGCCGAAATGCATTGGTTTTTGGATACACACCAGACTTGGCCTGCTGATGGAAGGCAACCATGTTCATCGGTTTCTCCTCCAATCAATGGCTCATCTTGCGGTTCCGAACATCCAGTACAGTTGGCAGTGCACCCCTCTGGAAGGTTCAGAGTGCCATTGACACCAGTCATGTATGGTCCAGTCACAAAGTATTGACCCATATCAATAAGGCAGGCATCACTCGCACTGCATCTCATATCTGCGCTGCATTGGATAGTGGCCGGTCCTTCAAATTTGGTGCCCTCGACTGGGCAATCTTGATCCCATGGTTGAACGCACTCCTGCAGTTCAGGGCACCAGATGTATCCAGCAGAGCCAATGCATCCATTTTCATCCCGGTCGCTTCCAGGCATTGTTGCTACGGCTGCTGTTGTTGCTACTGTTTCAGTTGTGGCAGTTTTGGCCGTAACCGCAGTTTGGCTTGCAGCAGCCATTGCAGAACTTCCTACTGATCCACTTCCACTTGGACAATCCTCTTCAAAGGTTCGAATGCAACTCTGTTTTGAAGCACACCAAGTGTAACTGCTGATCCAATACATCCATGGTCATCCCTGTCACTTCCTGTGTTGTTGGGCAAGCCTCTTCAAATGTTCGAATGCAACTCTGTTTTGAAGCACACCAAGTGTAACCTGCTGATCCAATACATCCATGGTCATCCCTGTCACTTCCTGGTGTTGTTGGGCAAGCCTCTTCAAATGTTCGAATGCAACTCTGTTTTGAAGCACACCAAGTGTAACCTGCTGATCCAATACATCCATGTCATCCCTGTCACTTCCTGGTGTTGTTGGGCAAGCCTCTTCAAATGTTCGAATGCAACTCTGTTTTGAAGCACACCAAGTGTAACCTGCTGATCCAATACATCCATGCTCATCCCTGTCGCTTCCTGGTGTTGTTGGGCAGTCCTCTTCAAAGGTTCGAATGCAACTCTGTTTTGAAGCACACCAAGTGTAACCTGCTGATCCAATACATCCATTGCATCCCTGTCACTTCCTGTGTTGTTGGGCAGTCCTCTTCGAATGTTCGAATGCAACTCTGTTTTGAAGCACACCAAGTGTAACCTGCTGATCCAATACATCCATGCGCATCCCTGTCACTTCCGGTTGCTTGTGAGCTTGCTGCAGAGCTGATCGTGGTGGCAAAGACCAGACCAATGAAGATGTGGGCACTGTTCTTGATCAATAGCTTCATGTTATGTGTTTGTATTAACTCTTTCGATGTTGCTGTTGTTGTTGTTGCTTTTTGTTTTGTTGTTTGATTGTTTTCAAGTTGTTGTTTTGTGAGGAGGAGCTTTTGGTTCGGCTTGTTGTGGTAAGTCATCAAGTGTGAACCGACTCGGGAGTCGTTCGAAGTGCCGATCCCAAGCAGGACTGAAACATTTCATGACATGCAAAATGACAAGCAAGCCGGAAGTCGGGTGCACAGACACATGCAGACAGCACCTTTGCTCTCTTGCTGGCTAACTACCGGTACAATAGCTAGCTCTTCTAATAGCCGTTCGACTTGTGGGGAAGCGACGAAAACATGGTATCGGTATTGAAAGCCGAATGAGTCGAGTCACTCGAGCAGCTACATACTGAGTGATTTAATCTTTGTGTGGATGCTACTGTATACGTATGGGATGGGAAAGGCAAGAGAAGCAATGTCAAAACAATTTGCATTACTGTATACATATATATAGTCTTTACTTCCTTCAACAAACGGCCACAGCCGTCTATTAATACAATCACACAACACGCGATGGCTCTCTAACCGGCTTGACAAGGCAGAGCACCACCCGTGTTCAAGAATACCTTTCGCCTCATTGGCGCGCTCGCGTTCGTTTCTTTGGCCATCATACGGCGCCGCCCCTTGCCTGTGGTGGCCCTCTTCTGTTCTGGCTCCAGCCTGCTACAGATTTGCTTCGTCTCCTTCTTATTATTTGTCTCCGTCTTGTCCTCTCTGAATCAAGCATGCCGTGAGGTTTGGGATTCATACCTGCATCCACACTCCGCGGCCCCTTCTCGTTACCTGCTCAGAACCCGAAGTCGCCATCCGCAGTGCCTTCTTCGTTCGAGGACTCGCACCAGCCCTCTTCACAGTCGACGTCTTCGCAGTCTGCGTCTGTGTCGAAGTCGTGGAAGTCAACACTCCAACGCAGCAAACCGCCAAGGCCGCCGAGCCCTTGGGCGAAGCTTCGCCCTGCAGCGGTGCGATCAGATACCAACGTCAAACGGCTACCGAAGCTCTGATAGTTGTCGCGCAACCAATCCAGTAAGGGCTCCTCTTCCACAATCTCCATCGGCCTGTCGTCTCCCTTTTTTGTGTCTTCTTCCATACCGGAGATGTATTCAACACTTTCCTCTTCAGTTGTCGGGTCGCGCATCACACATCGATTCACGGCGAGGCTCTCCGAGACGATCAGATCATCCACTGCGCCCATTTCCAGGGCCTCCAGTGTATCCTTTATGGAGACACAATACATGTTGGAGCCGCGGCTCAGTTCAGTCATGTACCTATCGAGTAGCTCTTTCTCCTGCTTGAGCTTGGTTGATCCAATGACTGCTGCGGACATGTCGATCGCTTGATCAAAGCCAACTTCTCCACCGTAGGACAGGTCAAACGATTGAAGCACCAGCGATCGGAGCCGCTTGTGGAACATCGTGTTCTTCTGCAAATCGTCCTTGCAGCCCGCCTGTCCTGCTAACACAATGCCTGCCACCTTCGGCTTGTTGTCTTCTAGGAAACACTCGATTGCCAACTCCGAGACCTTTCGGATGTAGACATCCCGCTTTTCTCGCCGGATGCGGTCGAACCTCAAGGCAGACTGCCCCCCACGTCTGTGTTTGTTGGGCAAATCAACAGCGAACCTATGCAAGACTTTTCGGTTTGTCCCCTGAAGCTTACCAAGCAGAGCTCCGTTGCCATCCACGATGATGAACCCATAAGAGGGTTCGTTCGCGTCAACGCATAGCGCTTTCAGTAAGTCCAGGTGGAAGTCCTTGCCACAAAGATAAGAAAAGGTCTTGATTGGATGCAAGGGTTCAAGGTCTATTGTCACAAGCCGCTCCTTGTCTCGGCCCGAGGCGACCAAGCCACAAAAGATTGCCAAGCCGTTGGAAGGAAAGGTGTTGTGGTTGTAGAGCTTGAGACGTTGCTGCGCTGATCGGATCGCCGTCTGCACCGACTGCCTGTTAAACGCGCGATTTGATGTTACTAGACACCCGGAGCTCATCAGTCAGGAGCTTTCGTGGCGCGGACCCACTGTCGAGGCGGGATGTAGAGAGAAACCATGGATGTTCCACGGCCAACGGCGCCCTGCAGGTCTTTGATCTGGTGCTTCATGCGAAGCCGAGCGATATCGTTTTGTACTTGCTGATGAGTGTTCATTTCGTCTGGTGCGGTCTTGGGTCTGTTCTTTCCTTGTTTCATAGTTTGTATGCTAATTGTTGTTTTCCTTTTGGAAATTGTGAGTTCCAAGGAAGCGAAGAAACTTTTGAGCCAAACGCGCCTACGACCGTAAAAAGAAAGGAGATGGAAGAGAGGAAACCTTGAAAGGAGGGCAAACGTGCGGAACTCAAGGAAAGACTTCCAGAAGTGTTTCTGAAGCTTGCTTTGACTGTCAACATGGACTCCAACTTCCTAAACAGATTCTTCCTGTTGGTCCAAGTTGTTCCTTCCACGCTGTGCGGTCCAACTCAGACGTGCACATTCAACAGGCATTTTACAGTGGAAAGTTGAGGACCTAAGCGTAAGCGGGTGGCTGCTTGAGGCTTGGCGAAGAGATACCGTACAGTAGAGGGAAGGGTAGGGCTCTTTGATAGAAACAAGGTGTGAGGGGCTTTGCGTTTTCACCGACCTCTCAATCCGACTCTGGTTTGCGGGATCGCTCAATATCCGTACGGGATGATCGTAGGTTGTATTCCCCCTTCCTTATTTGACTTGAATGCGCAATGATGGAACTTCAAAGCCCAATGCAACAGTTCATCAAGGATTCACAAACTGGTGTCAAAAACCGGCCACGCTAAAACTAAGGAAACTTCAAAGGCCTTTGCGAAAACATGGAATTATATCCCAGCAATATAAAGGAAACGATGCGGGCTCTCCGCTTTTCACTCTGATTTGAATCGAATCAGCTTCAAACTGGCAGCTTTCCGATGTTCAGTCAGATGACCCCTTCTGGACAACCTATTCAGAGTATAGCATGGACAGAGCTTCGTTTTAAAACCTCCAAAGAACCCATGACGGAATCAGCAATAGTAGTACTACAATAAGAGCAGATACAAAATTTGATACAGTCTAGAGATTACCTGATCACAACCTTTTTTGAGCCGGGGGAAAGCTGACGATGCATGTGCTTGAAGATTACCTGCCATTCTTTTCACTCCTACCGGTACATGTACTTACTCGTCGTCCTCTGGTACATTCCAGACTGCCTTGAGGCCATGATACACCGATACCAAGAAAATCGAAACGGAGAGAATTTCAATGGGCCCGAACGTGTTGCGCGCCAATGCTCGAGCCAACAGCAAGGTCGCGTATCGCTTCATCAATGCCAAGACATCGGATCCGTACCGCATATTCGATCCCGTGAACTCTTGGACACCTCCACCGGCCGCCACTCCTCGATTGACGATGCTGACCATCAAGCAAAGACCGGATGCCGCAATTCCCATGACGGATCTGCCTAACAGTCCCTTTTGGGCCATGAAATAGGCCCGACTGCCAATCATGGCCAAGAATCCGAGCATACCCACCACAAAGTGTGTATTGACGGCGGCCCACTCCAATTCGAAATCTCTCTTGAGCAATCCCCAGACACTGTCGGCCGGAGCAATGATCCGTTCCGTCAGACCATTAGTCGCCACCGTGGCCCACATGACAGCAATGAGTTCCGTGGCTCTACAAACGCACAATAAAAGAAGGACGAGAATAGTGTTAGCCAGCAAGCATCACAGCATACCTGAAAAATTCATCCGATCATCTTTTTAATAGTACTCACAATGTTGTCACACTGAGGACGTAATAGAATTTCCGAAGTCGTTTTTCCACCTTGGACTCTCCTGGTTCGCCCTTGAGGGGCAGTGGAGCCAAGAATCCCAGGGGAACCAGGGCTCCAGCGATAATGGATGCCGGTGTTTTCATATTGTTGAACAGCCCAATGGCTTGTCCAGTGTAATGAGCGGCATGGAGCTGAGATGAGGTGGTTGTCTTGCGACTACTGCTACCGGTAGTAGTAGTTGTGTGCTTCCAGAGAGGAGACGACGACGTCTTGTGGATTGGTGTTGTGAAAACCGTGGGAGAAGAAGAAAAGGCGCCCACGGGCGAGACAGTCTGCGACAGACCAATGACAACTACCCAGAGCACTGGGATCAGAGAGCTTTTAAGAGGAGCCATGGTTGTATCCTAACTTGGTGTGGTATGTGGTCTGGTCTCTTGCAACAACTATCTTGCTGATGGAAGTTGTTGGATGTTGCCAGTTGGGGTTCAGCGTTGACGCGTTGACACCAAAGATTTTGGATCATTCATTCTTGCTTGAGCTATCTTTTTGATGATGATTGATTCAGTCCTGATCATCGTCAACCATGAAACTGATGTCACCAAATCTTTTCGATTTGATTTGAGAATTCAGCCATCTGTTCCCAAACAAAAGACAAGATGGCATTGGTTCTGGAAGCAAGATCAACGAAGGATGATGGCCGGGCTGCCAATCATAAATCAAAGAGAGGCAAAGTTTTTCGCTTGGTTTCGGTTGGTTGGTTGGAATCAATTGAATCGCTTGGTTGCTTTTGAATCCATCAATTGGAAGAATACAATGAAGATGAGATTTTCTGTTCCACTCTGGATTGCTACTTTTTCTTCTCTCGTTACCCTTTGCCATGGCTACGTGACCCCCACAGGCCAGTTTTGTCCTCACCGATCGGATGCTTGGTGTCAATACATGAATCACCTGGATGCGGTCAGCAAGGCCCATCAAGCATGCTTGGCGACGAAAAACAATGATGATGGGAGTTTGGAGAAACTGGACAACTTTCTCAAGGAATGGGATCAGCTGATGGACTTTGGTCAAACCACCACGGATTTTCAGTTGCTGGAATATCTATCGGAACCTCACTATTACAACCAGCAGATTGCGACGGTGGAACAATCCAACTTGATCTCGACCTGTCGCAAACTACTCCACAACCGAAAAGAATCCAAGAATGACAGTCATCAAGATTCTTCTGTGGCCAAGCTAATGGCCCAATTGTCAGCGCTCAATAATAGCCACAACAATAACCAGAAGCAGCAGCAGCCATCCGAAACAGAAGAAGAGCAGGACACTACTTGTACTCTGATTGGCACGCCTCCGTCGGACATTGCCGCTCGACCCTACGATCCGGCTCATGTGAAACTCCAATCCGACGTGGTGCAAGATGCACACCGACAACTACTCAAAGACCACAAAACGTTGATTGAACACGGGGCTACGTTTCAGGAACTCCATCGACGCAACAAGAGATCCTTCCTCAAAGAACTACATCACGTCGAAGAACGATGGGATATTGTCTTTCAACGATTCCAACTCATGAATGTTTTGAATCCAGACTACATTCAACAATGCAATCTATGGTTGGCCGATTTGGGGTTGGATGAAGAACAATACAAACAGATTCATCAAGACAATCTCAATTACTTGTGGCAACAGCAGCACGAAGATGGGAATGCCTTTTACTGTGGTTGAAACGAAACGAAACGAAACAAAACGAAACAAAACAACCAAAACAAAGAAAGAAAAACAACATGGCCAGGCATCGTCAATCATGCATGCATACATGTCAGCAGAGCATGCAGTCAGGCAGTCAGGCAGTCAGTCTCACAGAAGCAATCCAAAGGAGGAACCGCGCTTACCACAAAATGAGTCCGATGCCAAAAGAAAGTCAGAAGTCCAGGGAACAAACGCACAATGGCTGGAACACCGTCGAATACAACTTACTTATTATTAGAGATACACAAGTTTATCAATCATCATCCAAGAGGATGCTAACTAAGAAATGATGCCTGGTTTTTTGCTGGTCACTCCAGCCTGTGTGGAAGAGAATGGCGAGGCTTACTTTGTCTGCTACGGTACTACTCCGGTTAAGGAAAAACTCTCAGTTAGTGAGACTGGTCTCCCCATTTCGTGAAGGCTACCGATACACCGTGATACTCGATTGGTTTGTGGGTTGTTCTTTGGAAGTTGCTTCTGCGGCAACGGGCTTTCGCTGAATGAAGATGGGATCAGCAGCAGCAGTGGAGTTAAAGCTGGTACGCTGAATACGGATTCCAGTATTGTCGGGACCACCCATTGACAACCCCATGAAGCGCGTCCACGTCCATGGGAGGTCGCGATAGAAAATGGCTGGTAAGCCGAACCCATTCGAATGAGATTTGACAAAGTCACTGTCGAAATATGCGCTGTTGTTCGCACCCCCGCCTTTGTAATGAAAGATGCCCGCGTCTGGGTGAAACTTGGTGAACTTGGCCACATCTCTGGCTCCTCTCCAATGCTCTGTAACCGTAATGCCCCATGCGGCGGGAAGGGTCTCGACCGTACCAGGATACTCTTTCCCTACACCCATAACCATTGACTGATCCATTTTTCGAAGTCCCTCCTTGGTCCATTGGATTTCATTCACATACTGCCAGAACTTGTCGAGACCATCATGACACCTGCACAGTTTTTGGACATCTTGAAGACGGGCGGTCGGGGATGTCTTCTTGTGATGTCGGCAGAAATAGATGGTTCAACTTGGCTAGCACGGTGACGTCCGTATCAACATAGAGAGCGTTTCCCACATCACTTGGCAGTACCTCATCGGCAAACAATCGAAAGTATGTGCCGAATGTGTGAATGCCTCCCGCCTTCAGTCCAGTACCATTCTTGAGAGTTTCTGTCCAACCCGAGATCATCGGTTGAACATTGTACGGAATGATTGTAACATTGCGCCACCTGCACAGGAGAAAAAGCAATGCTCACACGAGATCATTGTGGAAAGGGCATTGCGGCTGGTCATGGAAACATACCAGGCAAATTGTCAATTCACACAGTCTTACCACTCCACTCAATGCCATCAATCTGAATCTCGGCCCTCACTTTGGGCAAGTAATCATACGCTTTCTGCTCGGCCATGACATGGATGCGTGTATCTCGATCATGAGGTGTCTTCAAAAGAATGCTCTTCAGTGCGACCTTGAACTCGGCAAAGAATCCTGGAAAGTTGCCACAGAGAGCAAACATGATATTGATGGGAGGTTTTGAATGCGCCATCGTTTGCGCAACGGTGTCGACGGAGGCTGATTCTAGACTTCGACTAGCCGAGTACTTGGAGGTGAGTTTTGGAAATTGGATTATTGAAAGATAAATCGATGCAATCAAGAGTATCTATCATAGGGAGTGCCCAGCGGTGTTTCGGTGAACGAGATCGCCCGTTAGGTTCCATGGTTGCTGTTTCTGATGTTCGAAATGAAAAAGATATGTGAGCTTTGCTCACTTCCGGCATGATGCAGCGATGCAGCTACAGTCAACTGGACCTCCAGCTGTCCGGATCCGAGGGCTCAAGATCTGAACATCTTTTCTCGAGCCATCAAGACATATGATAGAAGACCTCCAGTTGTCCGAATTTCAAGGGCGGGCTCAGAACTGAAGACTTTTCCTGGAGCCAACAAGGGACCAGGAGCAGCTCCAGGAGCTGAAGACCTTCAGCTGTCCGAATCACACGGGCTCAGGATCTGAAGATCTTTTTCTCGTACCATCCGAATCCCAAGGGAACAGGATCTGAAGACCTCCAGCCGTCCGAATCCCAAGGGCTCAGGAAGCCTATTTAAATTTTGCCCTCATGGCTTTCAGCCAAGCGTGGTGCTCAACCCCAAACACAGGGCTGGTTGAATCGAATCCCGATTTCTCTCAAGCCAGCAGATCAGTCAGTCAGACTTTGCTGCATAGCCTGGACCGCACTTTTAACCTTATTATTGTTTGTCGTTGAGGTCAACAAAGTCTTCCTTTTTATCAAGCCACGGTTTGATGGAACAACCTGTTTGTTTGTTTGTTTGATTTTTAATAATTAGTCGAGAATTTGCTAAAGGGAAGGCAATGGAGGTGGCCTTGAGTTAATTCAGTGGTGGGGCCTTTAGTGTGCAAAGAGGATGCAGGTCCAGGCTGGGACCTTCGTCGTATGCATAGGTGTTGGTCCAAGGGCTGGTCCTGGAGTTGGCCCGGGGCCCTACTGGTGGACCCTATTTTGTGCCTGGAGTAGGGTAGGTCCTGGTGTTGGACTGGGACCAGCTACCGGCAACATAGTTGTAAGTCCTGTTGGAGGAAAAAATTCTTCTCTGTGGTCAACGGGCGTGCGGGTTCGGCACTTCCGAGGTACTAGTATGCATACCGGTACAGCTAGCCAAACTGGCCAGCATTGTAAGAGCACGGCCAGAAAAGCAGCCAACAATGTCGGATCTGCCATTGCTGCTCCAAACTGCTGATCAGGCGACATAGGCTCAAAGACCCAATTTGACACAATATGGCAAACAAAGAACATGACTGCCGTTGTACCACTACTCCGCGGCCATTCGAACACTTCCACCTAGCTAGCTAGGCTAAAGCAGCGAAAAGACAGATAGCTCATGCGTCTATTGTTCCCCCCAGAAGCGTGGTCTCCTTCGATAGATGCCGCCGTTTTGTCATGATGGGTTGAGGCCCACCGTCCGACAGTCTAGCTACCGCCCGATCCAGAGTTCCTGTTCGCAGCACAATCTGATGCCCGAATGAAAACCACAGGCCACGAGACGCCAGAGATAGAGTCGTAGCCTCCTTCGGTATACCGTGCAGTACATTGAGCGCCCGCAACTGACAACAGCACGGGGGAGACAAGGCTTTGTTGAAATAATATGTAGTGATCTAGTAGTAATAAGCTGCCCTTTGGGGCTCTATTATAAGCTTTTTTCGTGGTGTTAGCATCAGCCCAATGCGGCTGGCTATTCGGCATTCGCGCAATCAATGCCCCTTTCTTCCATCACGTCAAAAGAACACTTGTTTCGTTCCCAAAATGGTTAGTGCCTCTTTCGTATGGACCTTTTGATTGCGCGCGGCCAATGGGTGAAAATTGTTCTCCAGGATTGTGGGTGGGTGGTGTACAGTACACAAAAGATACGCAGCGACCTCCGCTGGTGCGGTGTGGTCGGTAAGTCACAAATGTAACATCAAAGTGAAATCAACAAGCTGGGCGCTCGGACTTCCAACATATATAAAATCAGCAGCAAGCTCAGACTTCAATGCTCACTTCCATAGGTGTGGGCTGTGTTACCGTCAACACAGACTCATCAAACGAGGGAAGTGACAATGAAGTGTTGACATCGTCCGCCTCCGAGACACTGGCCAACGACCCTTGCCATCGCTTGGGTCGACAGCGTCTGGGTGTGTTAAAGGTGCCATCCACTCGTGGCTTGACGGTGAAGTCCTTCTCGTGACGCATGTCACCATTGCAGTCCTTGATTTTGGGAAAGGCAGCTCCTGCCACAATCAAAAACTCTTCACTTCTTTGCTGGTAGGTCTTCAATGCCGATTGCATCGACTCAATCTGACGTTCCAGCTCTCGTTGTTCATGTTTTGCCTTTGCTTTCTTAATGGCATTCTTCAATAGCGAATAAGGCGACCGAGGCTTCTTGGGGAGCTGAAAGCCGCCAAGAAGTCCTTCGGTGTAGCGCGGCATTGTAGCAAAGAAAGGATAGACTGTTGCTTCGGTTGGATCAAGTGGGTGCCGGTACCACTAGTAGTAGGACTGAAAATTATGGCACTCTCACAGCCGCGGGAAGGAGGCAAGAGAGGATACAATGTCACTCCAGAACTTGTGATGTATATAGTCTGCCGTTGCGTCTAACAAAACGCAGAGGGGTCGAGGTGGTTATCAGGTTTTACTGCTAAAGGACAGGTGGTGCTCAGATGCGTTTCGTCTTTCTTTCGACTGGGTTAATCACCGTGCTCGGCGAAAGAAACCTCTTTGTGACCAAAATTGTGTGGAAAAACTCCCCCAAAAGCCAAGGCACCATGGGAATCCAATGGCCCCACGCGGCATCAGTCTTGGAAATAAGGTTTGTTACAGGCATACAGATTGAACAAGTAAAATGACGTTGCGGGGTAGCCAAGGGTAGCCAAAGCAATTCAACGATATCAATACGTAATTTAATTATATCAATACTATAAACAAGCAAAGAAACCTAATGATCTCTCCTGATTTTATTTTCAATAATAGCTTGGAAGGTTCATTGACGTATCCCGCTTTCGGCGAGGATGACATCGGATGGAAAAAGGAAGGCTTGGCGCACTCGGGCACCCGTCTCATTATTTCTTCTCCTCCGTTTTCTAGAGTTGCGCGGAGGTCTTCGATTTCGTAGCTTCGGGTTGCCACCGGAATGCCCTATTACATAAAAGTCCCGTTATCACTGGAATATTACTGGAAGGCATAGGAAAGGCATTGAGTTTCTTTGACCACCGGGTGGTACCAGATAGTATGGGCTATCCTGAAGACTGTACTCGGATTAGCTTTTCACAGTCTGCCTGAGGTCATTGAAGTTTAGAAGTGCGCCGTGGTATACTCTTTTCGACGATCAAATTCTCTCAAGAATAGATTATTGATAAATTTTCAGGAAGCCTAATAGTCGGCAACCAAAGATGGCCTGCGCCTCCAGGTGGTACAATTTTTGAGGCACAACGAACTCTGTCATGATCCCGTACCGTCCGCAAAAACGCCAAACGGCTCGATTTGTCTCGTTCTGACGGCTCCTGCGATGGATACGTACGTTCCATTGCATCCATAGGACATTTGGCTCCTGCTTTTGGACCGTTGCGCAACCATTCTGGAGGCATTTTGTACTATCCCTTCTACGCTCGATCGCTGATTGAGAACAATTCTTGTACAAGGAGTGAACAATGGGAAGCCACGTCAATCAGTTTTTGTGGAAACACCTTTCCAAAGTACATGTACGAGTACAGTGGTGGTGACTATTGCTTTGGGATGTGGAGGGAGATTGACCCGTGGCAGCCAACAGAAATGGAGACGCCGTTAGTTTTGGCTCTCGTTCCAAGCTCCAAGAAGTAATGGTCGAATTTTATTCGACTACAAGTAGTAAATTCGAATTGAGACCCCATCCATGGATACTATTATACCGGTATTTTAACCTCAAGAACATTTTAAAAATTAAGGTTCCAGGTGGAAGAATCGCATGCTTCGCACCAATTTGCAAATTCGGCCTCGTGTTCGCGATGCAGCGAAGTGCTGACCATTGGATCCAAACTCCCGCTTCTCATGCTGCATTTTTTTGCCTTCCGAAAGCCATCAACCACTTTCTCCAAGCCACAGCCATCGGAATACCTACTATAACCATTCCCTTCTTTGACTTCAGCTAGGCACCATGTCAGTAGCACCAAAAAAACCGTCCTTGTTCCAGTCGATGGGGCTTGGAGGCATGTCCGCCATGTTCGCCGTGAATTTTACCCAGTACGTTCTACAAAATCTATGGTCCCTCTGCATTCATTTGTTTGGAGGAATATATGCCTTCTCACGCATTCAAACTTTTCTCTTTCTCTTTTCATTTCCTTGGGGTATCCCTTTGACTTGTGTGTGTGTGCTCGCAATCATTTTTAAATTTCTCCCCATCTTCAAATATTGGCATTTCTGATAATTTTATGGTATTCTGATGCAATAAAACACACAACAACAATCCAACAATCAATGCATCTTTGTGGGTCCTCATCAGTCCCATTGAGACGGTAAAGACGCGAATGCAAGTGACAGGAAATGGACTTGGTCAAACCGTGTCAGGTGTCTTTAAAAACGAAGGAGTCAGTGCATTTTGGAAGGGTATTGTGTTTGCCTATGGCCGTGAGTTATCCTACACATCCATCAAATTGGGTGCCTATGCTCCCGTCCGTGACATGTTGGGTGCCGGCGGTTCGGATGCACCCTTTTATTTAAAGTTTTTGGCAGGAGCTCTTACGGGAGGTACCGGATCCTTTGTGGGAAATCCCTTTGATGTCATGAAAACTTTGGCCCAAACCAATACCGGGTCCAAACCCCTGGCTGCCCTTGTGGGAGATATGTTCCGTGATCAAGGCATTGCTGGATTTTATCGTGGCGTCGAAGCCAATATTGCCCGTGCATGTGTCTTGAATGCCACCAAAATGGGTGTGTACGATGTTACCAAGGGTATGGTGGTGGAAAAGACGGGCTGGAAGCGAAAGGACATTCGTACCAGTTTCTCCGCTGCCTTTGTCGCTGGTTTCTTCATGACCTGCACAGTCAGTCCCTTTGATATGATTCGTACCAAATTGATGAATCAACCAACCGACAAAAAGATCTACGACGGATTCGCGGATTGCTTTGCCAAGACGATCCGAAACGATGGTGTTTTGAGTTTGTGGCGTGGATTTGTCCCCATCTGGGCACGATTTGCCCCTCAAGCAACCTTGCAGCTCTTGACAATTGATTTCTTGTACACACAATTTGGGTTCACGAGTATTTAAAGAGGGCTGATGGAAGTGCCTTTTTTGATTCTACATGTTGCTGTGACAGCGGTTTGTGGTTTGATCCACTACAGGATGCTGGCTTATCCAATAATTCTGGAATGTACCGGCAAGTCCACATTTCACACTGTTGATGTGGGACAAGTGGTATGACAAGTCCACTAACCTAAAAGTAAGAACCTGGTACCTGTTGCGTGAACTACATGTACGATTGACTAGCTACGGGGCTTTCTCTTAGTCCGTTCTACTAGAAAAGGTTGTGATCCATGCAGTTAGTTATTGGCTTGTCCTTTCCCAACAATGCGCGACATTGTAATGTTGGTTCATTGTGAACCAAAATCGTCATCTCAGTGTGGCCTCTAGCACGCGCCCTTCGTCCGTACCAGTAGCATTCTTTCTGACTTGGATTACATGTACTGAATACTGAGAATGGTGACAGAAAACGCTGGTCCTGAGTGCATGCATCAACATCGTCCCAACTTGTCGAATTTCACAAGCTCTGGTGGCAAATGAGCGATAGAGTTGTGAAACAACAATGTGGGCCTCTTGTCGCCACTGCGAATATCCAAGGCAGTGATGGCTGTATTCCACGTTGGAAATACCCAAATTTTCTCACTGTTGGCATTGCTGTTGTTGTTGGGTGGCTGCTGCATCACGCCAAACGCAGCCTGCAGCAAGCTGTCCGTGAAGTCACCGTGCACCACCATCAGAATGCAGCGATCCTGGGTCAAACCATCAGCCATGGCACACAGCCGTTCCCAAACCTTTCGACATCGTTGCTGGCCTTGACTGTAGGATTCAGGCGAATCTAGAGTGTACCAACCCTTCTCGGTCAAAGACTCGGGCAGTGTGTAGGTTGGAAACCCGGACTGCATTTGGGACCGAGTCATGCCTGGTTTGCCCACTGTACCATCGTACACTCCCGATATTTCATGGATATCCGTAAACACTTGAACGGGCACCGTAGGCAGTGCTGCTGCAATGGGAGCTGCTGTCTGGAGGGTCCGTTTCATGGGAGAGACATGGATTTCATCAATGCCACCGAGAATCTGGTTTCCACCTTTGCCAAGATAGTCGGCGGTACTCTGAGCTTGCTGTTGACCACGGTCGCTGATGCTGGGATCACAAACTCGATTCTCTTGGAAAGCCTTGATTGATATCTCAGAGTAGAGGTTGTTTTGGGACTCGCCATGGCGGACTAGTATCACACGCAGCCGATGGGTTGGTGAACACATACCGGTACTGTAACATCAGCGTTTGTCCTATGGCTCCATGCTCTTGAGGAGTGAGCGGAGTCAAGTCGAGTCTGTATCTTTTGCGTCATTGATTGGCACATAGCAATAATAATTTGAAAATACTTCACAGCGTGATAAAAGCCACCAAAGCGCAATTCGCGCCCAAATAATATTAATTGAATCAAAAGTTGAAAACCTTTAACCGTCCTTCGACTTACACACGCGGGAAGTTCCACGACATTCTGTAGAGGAACGGTCTTGCACCAACAAGTGCGAACCTGGAACGAGAGCGAGCCCGGCCGGATGAGACCTAAATGGAAATCCGTTAGGATTGACAGCACTGGAGGGGTAAGACCGTATTTTCTGGAACCATGTGACAATTTCACCCCTAAATAACTTAACGGCCGTTATGGAAAATAAACGGCAGTTGCTAAGTAAGTAAAATGTGAGCATTTACATGTCACCTGCGACAAGCTTCATCCCACTTCGGCAAAACCAACCAAACAAGAAAACACGCTATTTGATGCACCGAAGCGCTTCAACAAATTGAACCACCAGCCAACCAACGCGACCACACGACAATGGGTGAAAGGCGAGCGACAACTCTCATTAGTGGTAGAGACAAGCCCTCGCGGCGAGCGACAACACAAGTAGAAGGATAAGCCCTCGCGGCGAGCGACAACACTCCTTTGAAGGCACGAGGAAAACACTCAATGGAAGATCAGCCCTCGCGGCGAGCGACAGAACTCAATAGAAGGGACAAGCCCTCACAGCGAGCGACAACCTCATGGCGTTTGAGTGACCACACCAGTAGTAGGTAGTAGTAGTCGTGGTGGTGGTGGTAGCAGAGCATGAAGGAACCTGTCGACCCATGGACTTGCCACCGTTGTTGTTGTTGCTGTTGTTGCTGTTGCTGTTGCTGTTGACACAAACCATACTAGAACCGTGGTAAAATATGCTTCGTTCCAGCTTCTCAGCCCAAATTTGCGAGGATGGATTGAGTACTGAAATATTGATAGTAAAATCAGTCGTGATTGCCTTCCAACTTCAACTTGCTGTAGAATCACTACTAGAAGCTACAGCACTCTTCCAAAATAATTGGAGCATGGTTCCAGGAACTCCAAGAAACCACCGGCATCGCTCACTGGTTCAAGTAGAAGTTCCAAGAATTCGGTGACTTTTCAAAGTAGATCCCTTTAACTAGTACCCGCTACCGGTAGATCACCAGCTCCTGACTTACTGTACTTGCAATCGTGCAAGATATCGGAAAGTTGAAATCTATCTGGACGCGATTTGCCAAGAAAAGGTCGGGGTCGGGACAACGTTCTGTATTGCTAACCTACACGGCGACATTCATGAGGACATCGAGACATTGGAGGCTGCAGTGATGGAATGGAACCCGCTCGAGTCAACATTGTGGGAGCAGATGGGGAAGAGAAATCTATCTATCATTGGTACACCTTACCGCCCTGGACGGCATTATGCCACCACGCCGAAAGCGTTTGTGCCTCTCGTCCGGCAAGTGAAGCGATTGCACGCAGCTGGATATGGGCACGGAGACATTCGAGCTTACAATTTTGTGTTTGGCGAGGACCCAAAGGAAGGCTGGATGATTGATTTTGATTTTGGCGGCCGCTTGGATGAAGCACTTTATCCAGAGGGGTACAAGCGGTTCATAGGATTAGAAAAGTCGAAGACGAAGACTTGAAGGAATTTTGGTTAGACGTTCGAAGTCTACCAACTCCAGAGCAGATCCAAAAGCTAGAGGACTTCCTCCTCAACACGGAGCGTCCGCTTAAACTGTCAAGTTTGTTTGCCACAAGTACTGGTGGGTTATTGGGCAAGAATTCTGGCTGGAACTCAACTGTTCGCTACCACTAGACTAGTACCGGTACCGGTAGCTGTGACCGGCCGATTGCAGTGAATGATTCAATCATTCGGTCTGAGGCAGCCAGCGTTGGACCTGCCACACCGGCCTGCATTAAAGGGGATTGCTTGCCAAAGCAGCGAACTAATAACTAACCAGACAGGCAGCCAACCAATTTATGCCACCAGATATGACATAGCAAGGCTCCAACGCTTTGTCATTCAATGCCTTCAACGGCGCCTTCCCATGAGAGGAGATTGGCTCTATGAATGGGGCTTTCAAGCAAATATCAGGCAAAACGAAAACTCAGTTGCTGCAATGTGTTGCTCTCGACCTCCTCCAGACGAGAAGACAGGCATCTCAAGTGGGTTCTTGGTGCATAGTCGCAACCATCGATTCGATTCTAAGCATCTAGACTAGGTTCTAGCTAGCGGTCGTAGAAGCTACAAAACATCCGATCTGCAAGCAAGCAATCTCTTGCTTGCAGCCACGGAGAGCCTGTGAGGGTCCGGGGTCTCCCTTACCGAGGTTAAACTTCTAACTCATTGTCATTGTTTTTGCTGGAATCGGAGTAATTGAGCCAATGGGGGGTCGGCTCATACATCATTATTTTGCTTCGTCTCACCTATTGGAAGAAGGATACGACTGTACGGTACACGACGGAGCAAAGCCGGGATTAGCTTTTGCTTCTCCTGTCGCTGCGGGTGCTACCGATACACATCATCGTAAAAGAAGGCGGAAGCTCCCGAGGACAGGGAGGTGACCACAATAATTCAGTATTCCCACTGAAGGTCCATAGAAGGTGCCCTCACTAGCTCCCTCACTCATCCTGCTATAGCTAAACCTGCATGGATAAGCTGTGGATACCAGAGGAAAACAATAGACTCTACTCCAGTAAGCAAAAGAAAGCCTCTTCGTTTCTGGAGCGAGACGGTGGGAAGCCAGGACATGATGCTTCCAATGCATCCAATGCTTGTTGGCCCCATACAGTGTTCTCAATGCAGAAGGCCTAACTGGGGATTCAAAGACAGAGTTGAGAGATTGATGCTCGCTTCTCAGCCACAGCATCAGCCGGTACCAGGAACAATGATCATCGATGGCTTTATCCCTAAGCTGGGTTCTTCGTTGACTGCCCTGGAGCTCTCGGTACCGGTACAGGGAACAGCAACCAGAAGCCCATCATGTGGGTTCCTTTCCTCTTGGTCTTTGGAGTTGTCTTTTGAGAGCTTTTGAGATCCGGACTACAGCATTGCCCAGCCCAGCAGTACAACCATGAGCTAGTACCATGCCTGAACACTTGAACAAGAGAGAAAGGTTTGGAAGGCGAGACGGCGAGACTAAGGCCTCACTGGGTTGGATGACCAGCCAAATTAACTGTACTCCTCGAGGAGTATCCATCAAGCTTTGGCACGATACTGATTGCACTGATAAGAGCTCTAATAAGTTGTTGGTTGCTTTCGTGGCATCACAGCTTGTCAAGGCACAACTACTAGCTAGTACTAGGTAGAAACTGTTCTTTCTTACTGTGTCAGTACCTTTCCCATTTCCCATTGGCCAGACTCAACGATTCGATTCGATTCGATTCGATTCAACCATTTGAAGGGAGCTTCTAAAGAAGCTATCATCTGGCCCCGCTCATGTTTTAGTACTAGCTAGTCTTGCCTCTGCAGCCTCCACTGCCAGTTCTGAAAAGAAGCTACCATCTGCCCCTCTTTTGTTTTAGTACATGTACTAGTATGTATGTAGTGCCTCCACTGCCGGTTTCAGTATCTGATAGCCTGAGACCGGTACTCCAGGAGCTCCAAGAGTACGTACACTCCAAACCTGAAGGTAAGAAACTCCAAATAAGAAAGCGAGTACTCAGATTTTAGAAAAAGATAAGAATCTTTTTATACTGATATATCACAGACTTGTAAGAAAACCTCCCAGTATTGATACCTCAAAGCACAAGAAATAATACTAGTCTGAGACCATGAAAATTCTCCTAACATGTGCCTAAAACTGCAAAATTTTCTGCCTCACGGCAGACAATGTGATCACCATCTCTTTTTAACCCAACCCAACTTACGAGTCCTGAGCAAGTTGGACCCAAAGGCCCAGGTGCACTGGGTGTAACCAAACACTACCCTGTTTGATATAGAAGCTTAGTAAGAAAGTCATCTATACTGAAATTGGCTTGTTTTCTTAGGCCGGTCTCTACCGGAGCAACTAAAGTAGCGACTAAGCCATATTTCATAGTTTAGTCGATAGTTTAGTCTCTGTGGGTGGTGTCTACCATAGGGACTAAACGTTGTACGGACTAAAGCCTTTAGTCCTTATGCTCCTTCACCGACTAACCAGCCTCCGGTTAGTCGGTGAACGAGCGTAAGGACTAAAGCTTGTTTAAGAACTCTTTAAAAAAAGAACAGCACTTTTAGAACAGCACTTTGAAAAAAGAACAGCACCCTCATTGCACAGCCTCACTATCAGAGCATCGCGACAGAGCTGATAGAGTAGAGGTGCAACCGATCGAACGATCGAAGAGGAGTATCGAATCGAACGACCGAAGATGAGTATCGGCCGATAGTAGAGGTGCGATCGAACGATCGAACGATCGAAGAGGAGTATCAGCCGCACCTCTATCGCACTTACCCTTTATCAAGCCGACAGTCTTCGGTTGAGAATAGAAAGCCATCCCTCATTGCAGAGTATGGAGTGCGGGATGGCTTTCATTTCTCGGCCTTTGACTGAATGATAGTAGAGGTGCAAATGATGACAGAGGAGAGGTGTGTTTTGAGTCTTGTTATCTCAGTCTTGTTATCTCAAAAAGTAATCACTTCTGTTAAGTCTTTGTTTGAGTCCTTTAAATCCACCATGCTGATAGAATATTGGTAGCCCACCAAGTGATCACTTTTGTTAAATCTTTTTTGAGTCCTTTAAGTCCAGCACCCTGCAATGGATTTAGTCGCGGTGTTTGTTTAGTCGCCACGGTAGACACCACGTTTTGACAAAAAACTCGACTAAATTGTTTAGTCCGAGATTTAGTCATCTGCTGGTAGACACCACCATTACTAAAGGATAATGACTAAATCTTGAACTAAACAACCACCTAAAGGATTCCTTTAGTCGCTACTTTAGTCGCTCCGGTAGAGACCGGCCTTAGAAATAAAACGAGTAGCAAAATAGAGCAGTTGGGTAAGAAAGCTCGAGTACTGACTCCCAGTTAGAGCTTTCTTATTATTGAGTTTGGAGTGTAGTGAACAGGTGCTTCCACCTTCCACCGCACAGCGAATTTTCCAACCAGGCAACACGGTCCTCATGTACGGCACAGCTACCGCACCCAGGGTTGCTGGTTCAATTAATATTTCATGAAATAGTTCAATTAGGGTTCACGAACCGGTTCATGAAGCGCACGTTCATGAAGTGGTTCATGGGGGGTTTGGGCCACTCATGAACTAGGTTCAAAGTTCATCAGAATACAAAATTTGGTGAACTTTTCCACATTATTGGTTCATGAGAATTCTGCACCATAAATGAGGCAACACAGGTCTAGTAAGCAAAATTTTCCTGACTTGCAAAGCCACCTTCAGTCCAACTATCCACCAGCCACACTTGTGCCAGGTTTGGTGACCCAATGTATCGGCGTTTTGTTCTTGAATACGAGCATACAGCCTGTATTTGCTAACCATAACCCTGTATTTGCTAACCATAACCCTAGGTTTTGGTTCACGAATGGGTTCATGAATTGGTTCACGAGGCTGCTCAAAATTGGCGTATTCACGAACTGGTTCAGTTCATGAGCATTACGTTACCCGAACTTTTGTCATGAACAGAGTTCGTATCCAAAATTAGTTGAACCAGCAACCCTGACCGCACCTGCACAAGCTTGCAGCTGCGCAACCTCCACACTCCCAGCATCCCAAGATGCCGGTAGTAAAGGTACGTATGAAGGGGTTCTCGTTTTTTTTTGTTAAGGGTTGGCCTTGAGCTGGCCTTGGGTGTTCGACTCCAATGGCTTCTGCGGAACACCCTTCTGGCTTCCGGAAAGTGTTCCCGAGTTCAATCCCGAAGGCTTCAAGCCGTGAGGCTGAAGAAGGGGAAGCCAGCGAAAGGGCAATAAATCTACCATGGCCCCGACATCCTTCTTTACCAGAAACTAGGCAGACAAAACTCGGAACGAGGGGCAAACGAACGCTAAGCGGAGCAATTGAATTTAAATACCGTGCACCCTTACTGTCAACCACTGAATCTGAGACAAATGAGTCCAGAATAGGGTCATGGAATAAAACTCTTTGATGGTTCGAACTACAAATGAATGAAACGAGAATAGAAAACTGATGAACTTTAGAACTTTGGAACCAGCCACAGCAAACCTTACGTACCTAGACTACTCCACGGCACTTTGCCGAAGGAAGTGTATGCTATAACGGTGTAAAGTTGTATTGATTTGGTCAGATTGAAGGTCATTCCAAAGGGAAGAAACGCGTCGCACTGAAAATGGTCTAATGACTTGAGATAACAGGTCGGGTTCCCAGGTCTTTTTCGTAGTAAGAATGAACAAGTTTAAAAGTCTCCTTCCTTCCACGAGAAGCCTCTTCTGGGCATCTTCACACCCCGTTTAATGCCCGGTATTCCCACCGTCTGAAACAAGATATCAGTGTGACAAACAACACGGCACTTTAACTCGGAAATACTCCCTTGCTAGGAAGGGAAGCCCATCTTCACGTAGCTTTCTACACACTTTCAGTACTGAGCTGAGTGGATCAACTGTCGATTCACTACCGAATACAGGTGTCATCATAGCTAAATCCCCGCATCCAGCAGATGCTGGATCTGTAGATAGTTTTACCTTGTCAAAAACACTCTTTGCATTCATAGTGGAAAGATCAAAGTTCGAATACACTGGTCAAAACAAAAGCACACAATTTTGCATTCCAAAAAGCAGAAACAGTTCATCGTTCACCAGAAACCAACAACCATATTATTATAACCTCGCGAAAACCACAAACCAACCAACCAACCAAACCAACCATGTCGCCCAAGCAATCCAAAAAGACCCAGGACCTTCAATTCCTCCCTGAAGACTTTGCCCCCTCTCGTTTCGAAGTGGTGGTAGGCCGTGGGAAAAAGTGCACGGACCACCTTGGCAACCAGCGCTTGAGGAGTATCGTCCGCACAAGGATCCAAGAGTATGCCACGGCGAACGACAAGACCCACAAGACGTACATTATCTCCCAGATCTTTCACGAGATTCGTAACCGAAGTGCTTGCGGAGGTTTTGTCAAGAAGGATGCCGACACGGGCCGTTGGTACCGTGTGGCGGATCCCACCGCCCGTACCAACATTGCCCAGTCCTTTCGCGATGAACTTCACGATACCTACCGCTCCAGCAAGTTTGCCAAGCAACGTCGTCGTTGGGGAGGTCACATGTCTGAAGATAATAACAATTCTACTGACAAAACAAAGCTGCCTGCCGCGGAAGCTGTTACGTCTGTCAAGAGCATGGTGTATCCCACTCTGATGATGAACCAACACAAGGAGCAGGAAGAGCGTCTTGCATGTCCTTCCAGTGTCACCGGCTACATTCGCCGCAACAGCAACGCTCAAGGATCCTCGTCCATCTCGGACATTCTCAGTTCGGCCCTCGATGTCGTTTGCGCCGACGATTTGCTCGCACCCATGCCCCTCCTCTCATCTGCCAACAATGACGTGGATACGTTTGATGCGCTCCTGTCGCTCACTAACAGTCAAGCCACTGGCAATCCCTTTGAACCCACGCCCATTGTCACTGGGTCCTTTGGCGGCTTTTACTAACTAAGAAACCGAGGAGCAGAGCAAGCAATGGCAATCAAGACAGGGCATACTACATATATATACATACTAATAAAAACACTCTTCTAGATTTTAAAAGACGTAAGCTTCTCTACTAGCTAGCTGCTAGTAGCACTACCTCGTCCCCTGTCGTGATTTTCGATATCGAGCATTGCAATCAAGCCCACCCATCGCTTTCGACGAAGTGCTTACTATTTTGATGCACTGCACTGGTGTGGGTCACACGGTCACACTTCTTGGCCACGGCCTTTTCTATTTCAAGCAAGAGAAGATGCCCTTGGTCACATTTCGCGCGCTAGCTATGCATAGCTACGGGTGTGTAGCCAGGAACAAGACCACAGCGAGAGAAAAGGAGACTTACTCGAGACGGGAACTGGCTGAACACAGGGAACGGCGAAGTGTGCAAACTGCTATTCCCGGCACGGTATCAGCACAAGCATAGTACCTTAGAACCTTAGAATCAAGTGCACGAGAGGAGACGATATCATCATGGAAAGAAAGAAAGACCCGAACAGGGTTCCCCCCAGATATGCAGCAGCAGGCAACGTTTTGGTTTTGCTCATTGGACCAACAGGCTAGCTAGCAGGAGCTCTAGCAGGTTAGTTGTTCGAGCACCATTCCGTTATTCCGTTTAGCTACATGAATCACTGATGTGGGCATAACTTCTTGACCCCCTCTGCCACCCTCCACCCTCCACACCTATCATCAAGCCAATGTTCTGCAAGGAAGCTACCCCAGTCTTGAACAGTACCGGTACCATTGGCCGCAGGAGCTGCCGCAGGCCTGAACTCCACCAAGATCGGTGTCGTAAAAGAAGCTGGAGAAAGGAGGGGGAAGCGGAAGCGCGGAAGCATGTTTCGGGCAACGTCTGTCCCATGGCTATCGTATGGCTTGGTTGGTATTTACTGCAGTAAATCCGGGTTACTGGCTCCTTACTGTCCAATCACTGCCATTGTTGGCCCCCTACTAGTAGTAGTTACTGCAGTAAGTATTCCCATTCAGTAAATTTTCTGCCTAGGCAACAGTAATATCCAGTAAATGACAGTAAAAGCACAGTAATTAGCCCATATTACTGCAATTACTGTACTAATAGTTTGAGAGACCCTGAAACGCACGCGATGTTACACGTATAACTCGTATCACTCGTATAAAAGGTGTAACACTCGTATAACAGGTGTAACACGTCTTATGTGTGGAATACGTATAACACGTATAACACGCGCGCCAGCCAGCCACGTGACCGTTCGATTTCGCAAAATGACTTGACTCCAACTTGACTTAACACCAACTCCAATCTCCACCACAAAGAACCACCATGATAAAACCTCTCTTCTCTTGGTTGTTTGAAGTGATACAAAGGTTCTCTTGTTATTTGAAGATAGCACCATCATGTGGGTAAGTAGGCAATGTGGTATGGCTTTGTTGAAGCCAAGAAGACTGTTCCTGTGGAAAGATAGAATGATTTCTCTTCATTAAACTCATTCTCCATTTTTCTGCCTCCACTCTCTTCTCAGGCCCTGTACAGCCTTCAGGCCATTCTCTTTGCAGTTCATAAACTTCTGAAGGCTCACTGACAAAGCCTGTGGAAGACCTGGCCTTGAATTCTACATTGTCAACCACTTTCTTTAGGGACCAGTACTGAACCTATGTAAGTACCTCAGCGCGCAACACATGTTACGCGTGTTACGCGTGTAACACTCGTTATGGTGTACAACGTGTTATCATCGTAACGTGTATTATATGTATACACCCGTGTTATACATCTCTCTCT